GGGGTGTTGTAGGAAATTCCTTGGCGGCGGAGGGCGGAGGGGGGCGGGGGGGTGCGGAGCCACACGCTTAACCCCTGCATCCCTGCTGCCAGCTCCGAGCTCAGAGCGGGGCTGAGCCCCCCCTGCCCCATCAGCCCCATTGCTGTGGGGTCCGTGCTCCGAGCTGGGCTGCAGCCCTCCCTGCTCCATATAAAGCCCATTGGAGTGGGGTCCATGCTAACAGTGGAGCTGCAGCCCCCTCTCCTGGGGCCTAACTGTAACCTTAATCCTAACTCTAACCCTAACTGTAACCCTAAACTTAACCCTAACCCTAACCCCAACCCTAAACCTAACCTTAACCCTAACCCTATCCTTAACCCTAACCCCAAGCCAACCACTAACTCTAAACCTAACCTGAACCTTAAACCTAACCTTAACCCTAACTCCCCTCCTGGAGCCACCAAGATGAGCAGAAACAATGAGCCCCGTGGCCACCCTATACCCCAATTCCCATCCCAGTACTCCTGCAAGTGATGTGACTCACATCAGCTCAGCAGCACCACATCCCATGGTCAGAATATCTCACAGAGATGGGTTCCTGCAGCTCCCTTACATCCCCAAGACCAGATTTTTCTTGCTTTTCTCCCACTACAGCATCCCAGCTTATGCTTCCAGAGGTACTTTGAGCAAGATACTTCCCAGCACTGGAAATTCAGTCTATACCAAGCTGAGCACCTCCAGGTCTATGTACCTGCCTTGGGCAGATGTTCCAGACCTCATAGTGGCCCTGAGTTTCTCCCTTGATGGGCTCCATCTCCTTCCTCATCTCCTGCTTCCCACACCCCCAGTCAGGACAGACTTCCCCTAGTTCTGATCCTGAGCCAGTTTGTTATGGATTTCCTTCCATTCATTCATTCTCAGGATCAGAGTGTCTTCATGCCCAGCACCAACCCACCTGAGATTGGCACTGAGTCACAAGTGCCAACATGTCCCCAAACCCCCAAATCCCATTCAGACCGACCACGTTCCCCATTTAGCTTGGAAGGGAAGGTGGTCTCAGGGAAATTCTGCAACAAAAGCTCTTGTTCCCACCTCTCTTCTGTCTCTAGCCCTGTCCCAGGAGCCCAACACCATCCCCTGTACCAAACCACGGCTGCAGGTGCCTATTTCCCAGAGCTGGCTGTGAGAATGGGAAATCTCCTTTGTAATAACAAACCTGTTTTAATTACAGCTTAAATCATCAGCTTCGGTACTTCCCTTTCGAGCTTATGTGAGCAAACCATGATGTATTCCTGCACCCTGGACACGGCTGGATGCATCTCTCTGGAAGAAGTTGGCAACCATGAACAGCAGCAAAGCAGACAGAGGGGAATCCTTACCTCACTTCTACTCTTCCATATGGGAATATTTGTGACCCTTGAAGAGCACAGAGCTGGAGGCAGAGATGGGTGTCTGTAGGGATGGTCACAGGTCGACTTGTTTACGAATGAGCTCTAAAAATAATATCACCTCATCACTCACTGCCTTCCCCTGTGGACTGTGAGCATGGTGCTGATGAAGGACCAAGAACACAGGAGCTGTAAGCCAAGCACCTTCTGTCTGGCACCATTCGTCTGCAGGAAGCACAGTGCAGCTGCTGTTGGATTTCATGGCTGACCGGAGGAATCCTGACACGACCACACACCTTCAATACAAAATACAGGGCTGGGTTTTAGAGCAGCCAGCAGAATGCCTGCGTTCTGGATCCAGAGGTCCCTGGTGGGTTTACAAGAGCTGATTGTCAGAGCAACCTGGAGCCCATCCATGTTGCCCTTTCTGCTCGGAGTGCTGGGGTGGAACCCTTGCAGCATCCATGCAAGTTTGGGATGGGGATGTGATCAAAGAACCCACTTTTTCTCACCATCCTTCTGTCCTCAGTGCCTCTCCGTGGTGTAGATTTATCCTGACCAGATGGATTTAGCTAACACACATCACACAACCACGATATTAAAGAGTTTGGGCTAAATAGCAAGCTCCTTCCAGCTCCCCCCAGGATGAGGGGTACCTCCTCACCCAGCTCTTCCCTTGCACAGGGCAGACCTGAAAAGCACATTTGTAGCTCAGGTCTGCATGTGGCTATGGAAGGGCAGAGAAAAATGGGGATGTGAAGCCCGAATCAATGAAGTTATTTTGCATCTCTGCTGCAACAGCAACCACTGAATTCAGGACTGTAGATCCTGGCCCTGCATCAGGGCTGAAAGTTATGGGAACGTTCAGCTGTGTCCTAAGTGCAGACCCAGGAAATAAAGGCCAGGCTTGTCGGGAGCAAGGTGCTGTGTTACATCTCTCTTACATCTCATAAAGAATACATTCACCCTTTGGCAAAAAAAAATGAGGCTCTTTATCTTAATCTGTGAAGGAATCTGGCGGACAGCTCGATTCTGCCAACATCAATCCATCTGCGATCATGAAGCAGGCTCCAAAACCAGGGGATTGGCTTGCAAATAATAAAACCTGGGTCCTTTCTATTTGCCTTCTGGTTCCTGAGCCTTTAGGTCCAACTCACTTCATGTTTTCTGGGCAATTCCTTTTTGTTTTCCGAATGAAAACTGAGATTCTCCTACCAACCCCTGAATAAACAGCGTGGGCTCCAACAACATCCCGTGCCATGCGAGCCTCGTGGCAGAAGAGCAAGCTGGCAGGGTTGCAGGCTGCAGTAGCTGGAAGTTTTCAGCCTGGAATCATGGGCCAGGAGAACCACATGGGTTAGAGCTGCCAGCAGTGGGCAATGGGACTGGAAACCTGCTGGATGTAAAGAAATCTGGCTGCAAAGAAGCAGGAGCAAGTCCTGACCCAGGGGTGGAGGAGATGCTGCTAAAACACGCTCTTCCTTCTGCCCACCATGGGGAATGCAGGCATAAATCCTCAGTGTTGGCCATCCCAAAGCAACCACCACACTGAATCCTCATGGCCAGCCCACACCACTGAACCTCAGCCACACAAGCCAGCAGCAAGCTCCTTCCATTGAGCAAGGAAACATCACCTAGAGGAAGCATAGCTACACTACAAAGGCTAATGGCTTTCAAATAAATAGAGTAGACTTAGACAAGACACTAGGAATAAATGCTTCACATGGAGGCTCTGGCACTGCAATTCAGAGCTGTGAGTGCCCACCCCCAGCAGTGCCCAAGGCCGTGGATGGGGCTGTGGGCATTGGGCTGTAGGAGGTGTCATTGCCCGTGGAGGGGGTAGGGTGACTTTTGTGGGTTCATTCTAACCTCTGGGACTCTGGGGTTCAATGAACTGCAGCCATTGGGAAGGCTGACACCCAAACCCAGGGCTGCACAGAGCAGAGGTGAGATTCCTCCTGTTGTTCCACAGGCTTTACTCATCCCCATTGATGGCTAGAGATCATGTAATTAATGTCTGGCATGCATTCGATGGAATTTATTCATCTTTGATGACTTTTGTGGGTTCCTTCCAACTCAAATGACTCTACAGTCTGACACTGGCATGCTAGAAGTTGGACTCAGTGATCCTTATGGGTCCCTTCCAACTTGAGATATTCCGTGATTCTATGATTCAAGGTCTACTTTACTCATCTATAGCCAATGGAGATGGAGTCCTTCCATCAGAAGGGGATGGGGGTGGAATAGGATGATGCCTCTCTGCCATACTCCACTAAGTAGGGATAAATTGAGCAAAATCCATATTTTCTTCGTGACACAGCTTCACAAAACTCTCCTCTCGCTGACACAGAGTGACGCAGAGCAACCTGAAAGGGGAAAAAGAAATCAAAGCACTGAGCCCACTCAAGGGCAAGGATGTATGGCTCCTGCCCCATTGAACCTGTGCTGATCAATGGCCCTCAGGGCACAAAAGTCATAAGGCTAGAGAGGGACATTTGGGTAATTAGGGCTTCAGGGCTCCATTCCTCACTGGTCCATCTGGGAACCACACAGAGATGGAGAGAAGCAGATGCAGAGGAAAAATATTCTTCTCTGAGCTGCAGAGAATGTCTGACTCTCATGCACGATGACCCAGGAGTTGCTCTCACCACTGGCTCTGCACCTCCAAACTGAATGGGAAGAGAAGTGCTGGCAAGGGGCCTTCAGGCTGTTTTTATGCTGTCACTTCTTGTCCTGGCTGCTGCCGAGCTTCCCTTGCTTGAGGTGAGTCTCATACAATACTCACTCCTTTCCTTCACTGCTCGCTGGACTCTCCATCCCACTGCACCCACCCAAACAGAGAGGGTTGGTATCAAGCTCAAACACTCAGACATCACCTTTCCCAGCATCTGGTTGCCTGCTCTCCTCCTGATGTATGATTAATGCTGACGAGAGCTCAGGAGGCTCTTGGAGGCAAGGCAACCTGCAGAGGACATCACCCTTACTCTCCTGATTCACAGCCCAGGAGCAGCCTTCACAATTATCACTCTACAGCGATGTAATAACTGCAGGAGATAACACCTGCAGCCCAGGGTGCCAGAGTTAACACTATTCATCATAGCTCAGGTGTGTTCCCAAGGGTTTTGTGGGTATGCAACAGGATCTGGACAAAATCCACAACAGCATAGGCCAGCAATGGCTTGCCAGAGTTTGGGAATGGTTGTTTCTCCATGCAGACAGCCATAAGCACTCCAGCAAAGGTAGTTTTAGCATGACTCTGAGTGCTGGGGAACTTTAAGAGCCCTAAATCTGCACCTTTGAGGGCTTGAGGTAGTCACCAAGTGATAAAGGCTTAAAAACAGGTAATGAGATAATTTACAAATGGAACATAGAGTGGGAAATTCAGTAATTTTTGATCATCTGAGCTCACTGGCAAGCACAAGAGCAACACACAGCAAGTAGTCTATAATCAGGGCAAACTGATGGAGAGAGGACAGGGAGGAAGAGCAGAGATTTCCCTCCAGGGATGGAGATCAGTGACCAAAAGTGGGTGAAGAGAGGCAGCAGAGCAAAGCCCCATGGAGCACAAGCAATGGGATGGATTGTCCAAGGCAAGGAGCAGAGAGGCTGAGCAGCAGGACACAGAGAAGGGTCAGAGATGCAAGGATGAGCCAAGGAGTGGAAGGAAGCACCAAGGTTAAGGACAGAGAGGAAAGCTGGGAAAGTTGTCTGTATTTCCCATCTCTACTGCAGAACATCCCCCCCTGCACTGGGGGCTGTGGATGAGCGACTCCATAACTGGCATCATCACTGGGAGAACCACAAAGTGACAGTGGCAAAACGCTGCCAGCTTCTTGGGAAAGGTGAGAAGCAAAGAAACGTTCCCTGGCAGGCTGGGTGAGGCAGAGGTGTTGGCTTGGGGTGGAAGGATGTGAGGCTGGAGCCGTGCACAGGCTTAGGATACCCTCTGCAGGCCAGCCCTGAGCTCCGCATGTCCCAAATCGCAGAGGCTTCGCTTGGAAACTGAAGACTCAGAAAACAAATCCTGCCGAGGCCAGGTCGGGTGTGCAGCAACAATGTGGGAGACTATCCGGCAAAGATCCCTTTCCAAATCCCAACCTCTGTTGCTAGAACTTCTGCAGAGAGCTAAAGCTCTGCATGGTGGGAGTGCCTCCTCTTCCCAGGTGCTCTGCTCCTTCCCAGCTCCAGGAGGACCCGCAGAAATAACACTCCTTGTTTCCTTCCATCCAGTAGGGACAATTTCTGTACCATACCTGGTCCCAGCACCAAAGCAATGCTTCCCTCCTGCTGCCATACGGATCCACAAAGCCACAAGGACTTTTTGGTTTCCTGTCACTTACCTTTATTGCAGACCGGTGTCGTGCGGATGCCCACAGCAAAGAGGATCGATGCACTCATATCCCTTTTGTCATTTGAAATAGAGATGATTAAAGACCAGAACTGTGGATAGGAGTGCAAGAAGTAAATGGGAGCCCTCAGCAAGCACCCAGCAGCCTCAGCTGCCTCCCTCCAGCCCCATTAGGAAAAGCCACACAGCAAAAGAAGTGCTGCAGAGACCAACCACTCTCAGAAGCTGTTTCTTGAGCAGAGATTTCAGGCTGGATATTAGGAAATACTACTTCTCTGAAAGGGTGGTCAGGCACTGGAATGGGCTGCCCAGGGAGGTGGTGGAGTCACCGACCCTGGAGGTGTTCAAAGAACGTTTGGATGTTGTGTTGAGGGATATGGTTTAATGAGAACCATTGGTGACAGGTGGATGGTTGGACTGGATGATCTTATAGGTCTTTTCCAACCTTAGTGATTCTGTGATTCTGTGATTCTGTGATTCTGAGATTTCTCCTTCCTCTCCCCAGCAGCAAGTCTTCTGAGCAGGCCCAAAGGTGTAGGACTTCACCTCCATCCCTGCAGCCATCTCTGCTGTCCAGATTGGCCATAGATCTTCACCAGAGAGGGAGCTGATGCTTGAATTAAAAGAGGCCAAAAAGACAAATTGTTTTAGTGCCACGGTAAATAGATGAAAAGAAGCAGAAGAGAAACACAAGAGATTTCCATAGCAACCAGTACAAAGGCTGTGCCTCTGCTGGTTTTCTGTGAGCCTCCTCCTCTGCACACAGGCAATCCAGGGGTGCTGCTATGAGCTCTGACCCAGTAGGAAAGGGATGGGTTTTAGGGAGCTCACAATAGAGCTGGGCACGCTGCAGTCCTCTGCACCAGCTCCTTCACCAAAGGAAGAGCCAAGATTTTCTGGAGGGGTGTTCTGAACCTAGGATTTGCTTTAAAATGCAACAGTGCAACGAGAAAAGGGTAGAAGTGGCAATGAGGGACACAGTGGGCACAGTGGGGATGGGTTGGGGTTGGACTTGGGGATTTTAGGGGTCTTTTCCAACCTTAATGATTCTATGATTTCACCATTTTATGATTCTGTGATCTTATGATGCCATGTATATGACGGGTACCAGGCCCCACCTACCCCATGTGCACACAGATATTCAAGATGGCATTTTCATTTCCTTCTTTCCTTTATCTTTTCCTCCCCATTTATCCTTACATTCCTCCCAGTCCTGGCACAAACGCTTCCCTTCAGTTTTCTTCGTTGGGGATGTTTGGACACCAGGATTTTATCATAGAATCGTAGAAACACCAAGGTTGGACACCCAAGATAACCCCACTATTTGTCTCTTTGTAACACATCTAAATGTTTCTTGGACCCCTCCAGGGATGGTGACTCCCCCACTCCCTGGGCAGCCCATTCCAGCTCCTGACCAGTCTTTTTTGAGAAGAAATTTTTCCTAATATCCAACCTGAATTATAACATCATGTCATTATGTAATAGAAACAAATACTTGTTCAGGCAGGACCAGCAGTAGGAGGAGATACCACAGCAGCAGGGACAAATCAAGGACTAAAATTTAATGAAGAGAAAATCAGAGACACTAAAAATTGAGACTGAGCCTCTGGTAAGGCTTCAGAGCCCCCATTGCTGAACAGAACATCTTCCTGAAGCCTCACAAAGCCTCCCCTTCCTCACATTCCCAGGGCATGAGCACATCACAAAGCATGGATGGATCCATGTTCCCTCCTCCCCAGTCCAACAAAAGAAAGAGATGCTCCTCCTCCCTCTGTGCATCCTATCAGCACATCCTCGGATGCTGCTGTGGGAAAGGGCAAACTCACAGCAGGAGGAGTTTCGGGCCAACTTGACAAGGATGATTTATCTCCCTCTTCTTTTTCATCTCCCAAGATCCTTTGAGATATGTTTGACCCTCTAGCAGATGAATAACCCAAACTCTACAGCAATGGCTTGCCCAAACCCCCCCTTAGACCCAAAAATTAAGGAGAGGACAGAGTTGTGCCATGCTTCTCACCACCTGTAGGAGAGAGAGCTGCTGCCTGTATTCACACTTCTGTTCCCAAGTGCCTTTCACTTGCTTCTGCACAGTATTGAAGTCCAAGAGAGAAGGAGAGAGATAATAGACCTCCTGACCCAACACATGCAACAGAACAGAAGGTGGAAGAGTGGTAGTGAGGATGCCAGCATGGATACCTCACATTTACAATCCAGACAAACCAGGGTCTGACCTCACAAGCTTGTATATGGCCTCACTTATGGCCACATCCAAACTGTTTTGGGAGAACAGTCCACAGCCTCAGGAACCCCAATACTGTGCCTGCAGGTGGGAGGGAGCACACTGCTCCAGACCAAAGCTGTGCCAAGGGTCTTTTTCATGGATGCCCCATCCCTGGAAGCATTCAAGGCCAGGTTGGATGTGGCTCTGGGCAGCCTGGTCTGCTGGTTGGTGACTCTGTACATAGCAGGGGGTTGGAGCTGGATGAGCACTGTGCTCCTTTGCAACCCAGGCCATTCTATGATTCTATGATTCTATGGTTCTATGATTCTATGATTCTATGATTGATTCTATGATTCATGTCTCTGGCACAGGGGAGTGAAGGAGAGGGAAAACCAGGAGTGTGATACAGCCCCTTTCCCTGGGACCTTATCCTCACTCTGTCCCAGCAGGACACAAAACTCAGGGAGCAGCTGTGCAAAGCAGCTCGCAGTCTGGACTCCCCGTTACTTGCCCAAGGCAGGAGGAGGGCCATGGGTTAATATGGCCAGCAGGGACATTGAATTACAGAAGATTTACATCTGACAGGGGAAAAAGTTTTCTGGTGACAGGGATAGGCTCTGACAGCCGCCCCAGGGGGAGGTGAGCTGCCAGCACTGGAGGTTTATCAGAGCAGGATGAACAAGCATTGCTCAGGAGTGACTCAGGCTGAGCTGATCCCACTGCGGGGAAGAGGGATGAGCAAACAGCTCTTGCAGGATCTGGCCAGCCCCATTTTCCATGAGTCCACTGCATCTCTGGTGCATGATATAGCACAGATCTGAAGTTCCCTACAGCACGTGTCCTCCACAGCCAGCTGGTCAGCACTGTTCACGCAGCATCACGCTGGGGAGCTTCACATTCCTATCATTTCCAGAGGAAAGGATGCTCATCCCAGCACCACAGCTTCTCCCCTCAACCTCTCCTTCATGGAAAACCATCCTTCTGTAAATCCTGCCTGGGGGTGGAAATGGGAAAAGGGAGCTGCCATGAAATAGATCCCACAGCGCTCATCCCTACTACTTCCATCTCCTTGTGCCTTGCTGTTCAGTCCCTATTTGTTTATTTTGGAGCATGTCCAGAGAATGGCAACAAAGCTGAGAAGGTTCTAGAGCAAAGTCCTACGGGGAGCAGCTGAGCCTCTGAGGAGCATTTAACAGTTATTAATGGCAACAATCAACACTGCATCACCAAAACTCCAAACACTGACAGTGATCATAGAATGATAGAATGATTTGGGTTGGAAGGGACCTTGAAGCTCACCCACTCCCAACCCCCTGCTGTAGGCAGGGACACCTCCCATAGCCCAGGTTGCTCACAGCCCCATCCAGCCTGGCCTTCAGTGCTTCCAGGGAGGGGGCATCCACAGCCTGGCTGGGTTACCTGTGCCAGTGTCTCACCATCCTCACAGAAAAGAATTTCCTCCTAATCCCTAGTCTAAATCTACCCTCTCCCAGTTTAAAACCATTTCTCCTTGTCCTGTCAACATCTGGCCATATAAAAAGTCCCTCCCCAGCTTTCCTATAGCCCCCCCCAGGTCCTGGCAGGCCGCTATAAGGTCTCCTTGGAGCCTTCTCTTCCCCAGTCTGCAGACTCCCAGCTCTCTCAGCCTGTCCCCATAGTGGAGGTGCTCCAGCCCTTTGATCATCCTCACTGCCCTGCTCTGGACCCTCTCCAACAGCTCCGTGTCCTTCTTGTGTTCAGGGCCCCAGAACTGGACGCAGTGCTCCAGGTGGGGTCTCAGGAGAGCAGAGCAGGGGGCAGAATCACCTCCCTCGCCCTGCTGCTCACACTTCTCTCCATGCAGCCCAGCTTACCCTTGGCCTTCTGGGCTGCCAGCGCACATCGCCGGCTCACGCTGAGGCTTCCATCCACCCACACCCCCAAATCCTTCTCCTCAGGGCTGCTCTCAAGCCATTCTCTGCCCAACCTCTGCCTGTGCTTGGGATTGCCCCCACCCAGCTGCAGGACCTCGCACTCGGCCTTCTTGAACTGCACGAGGTTGTTGGCATGGGCCCACCTCTCCATCCTGCCCACGTCCCCCTGCATGCCATCCCTTCCTCCTGGCGTGTTGACTGCACTGCTCAGCTTGGTGTCACCTGCAAAGTGCTGAGGATGCACTCCATCCCGCTGCCTGTGTCGCACACAGAGATGCTCATCTGCTCCCAGCACCCAGGGTGGGAGAACCCTGAGGAGCATCACTCAGCACCGGTCCGCACCTGGACACTGAGCGGCTGCCCACAGTGCCACCATCCAGGCAGCACTGAGTGTTCCACCCATCAGACCCATTTTTTCTCCAGTTTGGTCAGCGGGATATCAAGCAACGGGGAGTTACACACAGCTTCAACTGGAGCTTTGTGGGGGGGTTGGCTTCTGTCCTCTTCCCCGGAGCTCCTGTGGGGAGCGGCTGGAGAAGCAAAGGTGAGGGAGGTTGTAGTGAGCTGGGGTCGGCCTCTTCTCTCGTGTAACTGGTGATAGGACTAGAGGGAATGGCTTCAAGCTGTGCCAGAGGAGATTTAGGCTGGATGTTAGGAAATACTGCTTTTCTGAAGGAGTGCTCAGGCACTCGAATGGGCTGCACAGGGAGGTGGTGGAGTCACCGAGCGTGGAGACGTTCAAGGAACGGATGGATTTTGCGTTGAGGGACATGGTTTAGTGACAGCTATTGGCAATGGGTGGACAGTTGAACTGGGTGATCTTGAAGGTCTTTTCCAACCCTGATGCTGTGAGCACAAAAGTAAGCGGCAACAGCGAATCAACGTAGAAAAGTATCGGCGGATGCTGTAGGATGCACGTAAATATGCGATACAGGGCCACAGAAGGACGACGTCGCGCTGGGAGCAGCAACCCTGAGGCGAGCTCCGACCGACGACCACCCTCCCTCAGCGAGAGCATTCCCACCCACTGAACAAACCCGCCAGCGCTCCGTACTTATAGACCCGCCTCATGAATATGCAACGAGGTGGGAGGTGCCACCGCGAGGGCGGGCCCGACTCGGGGCGGCGCTGCCTCATGACTATGCATCGCCTCGTGCATAATGCATGAGGGGCGTGACCTCGCCTCAGCGCTCTGTCCCTTCAAAGTGCGGGAAGATGGCGGCGGCGGCGGCGGGCCCCGGGAGCCGGGCGGCGGGCTGTGCGCGGCGGGGCGGGCGGCGGAGGCGGCGAGGGCGGGCCGGGGCGGAGGAGCAGGAGGAGGAGGCGGAGGCGGAGTGCTCGGCGTGCCGCCAGGCTCTGGGGGAGGCGGTGACGCCGCCCTGCCGCCACTCGCTGTGCCTCGCCTGCTTCCAACGCTGCCTGCAGGGCCCGGCCCTACGCTGCCCGCTTTGCCGCAGCCGTTTTGCCAACCGGGCCCGCACCGACGCGACGGCCGCCGGAGGAGGAGGAGGAGGAGGCGCGGAGCAGCGGCCGCCGGACCCAGGTGCGGCGGCGGCGGCGGCTCCTGCCCCTCCCCTCCCCTCCCCCCTCCTCGGCCCCAACCGCCGCGGCGGCAGCGGGGGGGGGGGGGGGGGGCGCGCGGAGGCGCTGGGCGGGGCCAAAAGGGGGCGTGGTCAATTTGCGTGGTGGGCGCGGCTTGTGTGAAGGGGCGGGGCTCTGAGGGAGGGGGCGGTGCGGTGGGAGGTGCGATGAGTTGTAGGGGCTCAGCTGTGCGCTGCGTGGAGGGGCTGTGGTCAACCCCTGCAGGCGGAGGGTGTGGGGAAAGGGGTAAACCCCCCAGATTTCAGGAGTTAGCTCTGTTCACGGCTTGAGATGAAGGATTTCAGACTTCTGTCTCCTTTTGTGGGGAAGCACTGGTGATGAAGGGGCCTGTCCACTTCTCTGGGGCAATATAGGAGACCGTAGGACCTGTCACCTTCTTTGGGAAGAACATGGTGACAGTGGGACCCATCCCCTTGCCCAGGATGGCACTAGAGGTGGGAGAACCCATTCACTTCCCCAAGGCAGCCCTGGTGGCAGAAGGACCCATCCCCTTCCCTGGGAAGATGCCAGTGACAAGAGGACCCTTCCCATTCCCCACAAAGATATTGGAGACAGGAGGACTCATCCCTTTCTCCAATACGTGGGAGACAGGAGGACCTGTCCCTTTCCACAACAGCAGAGACAGGAAGACCCATTTCCTTCTCCAGAAAGGCACTGGTGATGGAAGAACACCCCATCCCCTTCTCCAGGGCAGTGCTAGTGACAGGAGGACCCATTCCTTTCCTTCACTGTTGGCACCAGGAGGAACTGGGCTGTCCCGAGTGGGACAGTGTCACATGGCCAAGGTGGCACCAGTTTGGATCATCCAGTGGCCAGCAGCCAGTTGTTTTGTAATAGCATTGCCCAAATAGTTAATGGTTACAGAGGAAACCTGCTGGGGTTGTAAACACCGGATGAGTTCCTGCTGCAGTGCAAGAGGAAAGCTCTTGTGTTGAGGGACGTCCCAGTCTTTGTTGACAGAAAATCCATCATTTCCAAGGGTTTTTTTTTTAAGGCATTTCCTCCCTGTATGGAGAGCAGGCTATCTGCACTGACAGCACAGTGTGATGCTCCGGGGGACGATGCAGCAGTGTTGGCACAGATCATCTGCATCACCACGAGCACTTCTCCACCACTGGAAGCTCCACGTTGAGCTCCAGATGGACACCACAAACCAGCTGAGCTCTGCCCCAGCCAGTTCTCACCTCTGGGCTCCCGCCTCGTGCATGTGTCAGCACCCTCTCATTCGCCGCAGGAGAAATTGGCAGGATGAGCATAAACGGCTTAAATTGGTGGTTTGAACTCACCCCACTAACCTCCACTGGAAGCGAATTCGGAAGGATTTGCTGGATGTGATGAATAGAAGGGCTGTCTGGCAGCGAGCTGCGCCAAGCAGCTGGAGGACGGACCGCCGCCGAGCCACGCTCCTCCCCAAAACCTCCCACCAAGACCGTGCTTGCCCTGGCCTGGCCTGCATGGGAATATCCAGCCACGCTGCAGGAACACTTACATTTGAAAACAAATTAATTTCAAGTCTCTGCTTGTCTAGCATTGCCCGAGATGCATGTGTTTTGCAGCAGTCACATCGGTAATCGTTTTCTTTCTGAACCTCCTAAAACTCTGAAAATGTAGTGGAGGGAACAGCAGGGGATCTTAGTATGGAGAAACATAGAGAGTGCACCCGAACAGGGATGTGCCTGTGGCGTTACCCAAGTGCTGGACAAACTGCTGCACTCTGCGTGGAACTGCCGACGTATGGTTGTGCTGAAGGCTGTGGAGTGGTTCAATTAACGGTTAATGAAGTGAGCTAAAATGAGCTCTCATCTGGAATGGTGTTCCTGGTAAGATCAGGCCTGTCCTGAAGCAGCACCAGGTGGCTGCATCAGACTGAAAGCTGTAAAGCTAATTGACTGCTTGTTCTGTGAGTCATGCTAATAGTGCAGAAACTGAAGATTACAAATGATAACCTACTAGAAGCAGAGAGAACAGGGGATGCACTTTATTTTGACTACAGCCAGGTTTATCATAGTCATAGACTAGCAGGGGTTGGCAGCTGCCCCTGACTCCTCCTGCTCAAGTAGAGCCACCAGAAGGCAGCTGCCAGGACCATGTCCAGGTGGGTTTTGACCCTCTCCAAGGATGGAGATTTTGCAGCCTTTCCAGGCAACTTGTGCCAATGCTTAACCACTCTGATACATTCAGTGGAACTTGTCTTGTTCCAGTTTGTGCTTGTTACATCTTGGTTCCCAAGAGAACAGCATGGATCTGCATCATGGGAGGTCAGGTGGGTTGAAGAAGAGGTTTTGTCCCGGAGAACAGTGTGCACAGCACAGCTCCCAGGGCAGCGGGCACAGCCCTGAGCTCAGGGACCACTGGGACACTTCTCAGCCATAGGGTTGGGGTTTGGGAGTGCTGTGTGTGGCCAGGGCTTGGAGTCAGTGATCCCTGTGGGTCCCTTCCAACTTGGGTTGTTTTATATTTCTATGTTCTTCATGGCCCTTCATGGTCAAGGCAAGCAACATCCTCTCTTGCCCTCATCCACCAAAGTGGTCACCTCATCACAGGGGACTACCACATCAGTTAAGCCTGCCTTCTTTGTAAATCCCTGCTGACTGCTCCCAGTCACTTTTTTGTCCATCATGTGCTTGGAAATGCTTTCCAGGATCATTTGCTCCACCACCTTGCTGATATCACGAGGTTGACCAGCTGGTCATTCCATCTCATTGTCAAGATGGAATGTCAGGGTAGTGACATTGGCTTTCTTCAGAGCTCCAAGAATCTTTCCTGGTCACCATGGCCTTTCAAAGACAATGGAGAGCGGTCTTACAAGGACATTGGCCAAATCTCAGCACACAAGTGTTACCCATCAGGTCCCATGTGCCTCCAGTCTGTTTAAATTCCCTAATATGATTGCTGCTCCAGCATGGGTGAGTCTTCCTTGTTCCAGGCTTTCCCAGGATCTAGGGCTCCTGGGGCTGTTCCATGTAGACTGAGGCAAGGAGGCATTGAGCATTTCAGCATTTTTCCATGTCCTTTGGCATCAGCACCATGCCCACCAAGCAGGAGAATGATGTTTTCTTTAGTCTGCCTTTTGCTGTGATGTGCTTGTAGGAGCCTTTCTGGTTGCACCTCGTGTTACTTTACCTTTTGCTGTTTTCATTGCAACGTCTCTGTTGGTTCTGGTGAAGGTTCAGGAGGATCTCCAGTTGTGCACAGGTACCTGAGAGTAGGCAGTAAGGGCAGTGCAGCCAGCTTCTTCTCCATGATCCCTGGTGGCAGGCATGAATTAAACCACAAGAAGTTCTATTCCACATAAATTACACTTTTTTTTTTTTTTTTACTGTCCTGTAGCCAAGCACTGGCACAGGGACCAGAGAGGGGCTGAGGTCTCCTCCTTGGTGATCTCCAAAAGGCACCTTAGTGTGGGGCTGGGCATCTTGCTCTGGGTGACAGAGGGATCAGAGGTGCCCCCAGCTTCACCATTCTGTTATCAAACATGCAAGAAGCTGGTATGCTTAACTGTATCACTTGAAATCCACAGAACTGATTTAGGAAACTACTTTTTAATATCTTTTTTTTTAAGTATTACAAGCCTATGAAAGATGCTACCTGTTGACATAGCTGAATTATTCCAGCTTACACTGACTAGCTGCTTCTGATTTCCAGTCTTGTTTTGTATCCTTCACTGGCATTCCTGCATAACAGTGGACTTGTGGAGGCTGCAGCTGGGATCAGGGGTTATGTGCTGTACAAACAGGTATGAAGACAAAGTCCGTGTTGTGACACTTGCCCAACAGAACTGGCTGGAGGTGAGCAGGCAAAGGTGATCTGTCTGCCTTTAGAGCCCCTGTGCCATCTCCTGGTGGCTTCCAGCTGCCCCACCAGAAGGACCTGGTTGGCCTGTGGGTCCTATGGCCCATCTCCCTGCTCCATGGCCATGTCTGGTGATGAGTTGCATCTGGAAACGCACCCATGGATGCTGCTGTAAGACTAATTTTGAACTGAAGATGCAATGATACAGGGTAATGCTTGTAGTACTTGGCTGAGTGACATTTCTCGTAGCCAAACAGTTGTCTGTTGAAAGCCTTGGAAACAGATAGGTGCAGCAGATTGGGAGGCTGGGAGCAGGGCAGGACTTGGAGACAGGGGGTGCTGGAAGATTCAGCCAGACGAGATGAACAGAGACGCATGTACCATGCTCCTGGTGAGCTGCTCAGGCCAGGCTGCAAGAAAATAAGGATGTTTGGTGTTCTCCAAGGACAGCAGTCTACCTGCATCGAGATAGAAAGAATCTTGTGGAAAGAAAAGCAGATGAGAACTCAGCTTTGTCATCTCAGACAGCGCAAGACCAGCTTCACCCACACGTGTCAATTTCTGCCTCTCACTCCTGATGTTACCATCAGATATTATGAATATCCTGCAGGAACTTGGAGAACCGAAGGAGGAGTGAGCAGAGAAACAGAAATTCAATTTTTGGGGAAAGAGCTTGATGAGGAATGGTAATAAGGTGGTCAAGGGGCAGAGAAGACTTCTGCAAGAGAACAGCAGGTGTTTCTGGAAGGGCCGTGGGAAGCCTGCTGCTTTCTACCGAAGTGGGATGGATGTGCCTCCTTATAGACATGTGAGTCATCCATCAGTGAAAACACCTCCATAAGGGGTTCCATGGCCACCTTTGTTTAAGGATCTGACCGCGTGGAAAACTTTGCCTGCTGTCTAATCGAAATCTCCTTTGTTCTAAAATCAGTTGGTTGCCTTTGTTCCTCTTCTGCCCAATAGCTCTGTAAAGCAATTAATAACCGATCCCTTTATAAGAGGGTGTTTTTAATTGCCAGGCCTGGAGCATGACTTCCTCATCCTTCCTCTGAGTGTTTTGGCCGCAGTTTCCCTTTCAGCCTGCCGGCCTAGACCAGTCTTGAGCATTTCCTGGTGGTTCCTTCATTTCCTGCCATTTCTGCAGCCTGTCTCCGGCTTTATTTTTCCCCAAGAGCACAGTGCAGTCACGATAAAGTCTTTCCACGCCGTGTGAACAGCAGTGATGTGATCCCACATCCACTCAATGCAGCACATTTCTTTCTTCCAGCATGGGTGATGCATGGCAGCTTGACGGCCTGTGTTAAATTTAAGGCTGTCCAACAGAGGACATGTGAACAGGTTGCCCGAGGAGGTTGTGGATGCCCCATCCCTGTAGTTATTCAAGGCCAGGCTGGATGTGACTCTGGGCAGCCTGGTCTGCTGGTTGGTGACCCTGCACACAGCAGGGGCTTGGAATTGAATGAGCATTGTGGTCCTTTTCAACACAGGCCATTCTATGATAAAGGTGAGAATGTGTGTGATTATGGCAAGGCTGTGCCTTCAGGGGCAGTTGCCACCCATGCATTGAGCCTCACTCTTCTCCTGTGCTGCAGTCACAGAATCACTAAGGTTGGAAAAGACCTATAAGATCATCCAGTCCAACCATCCACCTATCACCAATGGTTCTCGCTAAGCCATATCCCTCAACACAACATCCAAACGTTCCTTGAACACCTCCAGGGTCGGTGACTCCACCACCTCCCTGGGCAGCCCATTCCAGTGCCTGACAGCCCATTCCAGTGCCAGTCATCTATGATACTTAAATTCTTTCTGATCTACCATTCAAATCAGTAATGAGGAGAGTTCTTAGGGCCAGCCTTAAACCAGTCCTAGTGACTGTGTGGGAGACTGTCCTGGTATGGCACTTGATCATTACAAAAACACTTTTTCAGCAGATGGTGCATCACCTTTCTGAGTAATGGTTATGCCCGACTATCTTGGGATGGGGTTTTGTGTGATTCTGAATGGAAAAAGCAAAGTCTTTTTGTTACTCATATGCTGGGATCAAGATTATTCTATACCCAGCTATCACAGGAACTGGAAGCCAAGCTGGGAAAAGCCACACGAGGAAACCTCGTGTGACGTGCCTGCCTCCCAGCCTGCTCTTCTTTATCCACAGAGGTGTGAAGCCAGTATTTAAGTTCTTTGCACCATGCTTGATTCCTGAACTCTCGTTTTCTTGATTTGTTTCTTTATACATTTCTGTGCAGAGTGAGATGTGGACAGCGATAGCATAGTGCGTGTATGAAGGCTGCTCTGAAGTACACACATCCCCCCTAATGCTGCCAGTGCCTTAATTTTCTCAATAAAGGGTGGATATCTCCGTGTCTACGGCAGGTGGAAAAATACCACTCACCCCTGGGAGATGTACTCCTGTCATTACTTGTTTACCCCTCGCCCCCTAATTATCTCACCAGCGATGGAGGTGAGATTGAATTAACACGAGTTGTTCATATACAGTGGTTGGGGACAGGAAAGAGAGGAAATCTTCCCTAAATATTCCTTTCTGTGTCCTCATAAGGCTGTTTATGATATATATGAAGTGTTCCACTGGCATATCTTTACGTAATTACTTAATAAACAGCTTTGAGTGAGTTAATTGCTCCCATCAGAAACCTGTTTCCAAACCTCTCTGCATTCACAGACAAAAAACTTGCTCAAAAGCAAGTTGTTTCAAAAGCATCAAGATCTCATTCCGCAAAGCAGAACACCAACTGGTGGAAGAGGCAACAAAAAGCTGTGAAAATCTCAAGATTTTAATTGTCTCTGCTAAGAGCAAAGGGGAAGAGGAGATGGCAGACATTCCTGAGAGCATCTGTGCAAGCAGCAGAGCTCATGGAATCACAGAATTGTAGAAGCGGATGAGTTGGAAGAGACATCCAAAGGTCACCTAGACTGGAGCTTTGGCTGCAGGATGAGGAACCAAAGGCTTTCTGCTCTGAGGTGACTGTTTTAGCATCTTTATATTCCATCTGCATGGAATATTCTCCAAGTGCCGCTCAGGAGCGCAGATGAACAGTGCCTGGCTGCAGTGCCAACTTTGGAGGGCTAAAATCAGGAAGGTTAGAAAATAGAAGGTGTGTTGTCCTCTCAAATGGTGCAGGAACCCATTGTATTTTTGTGATTGAGCACAACAGGATGGAAGCCCTGTCTGCAAGCATTGAGGAGTTGATGCTGATGTTGACTTGTGGTTTTGGTGTGAATATCATCCTCAAAGCAAAGCCCACATCCCAATGCCTGCCTTTCCCTGCAACCCTTCACTCAGAGACCATCGCTGCTCCTCTGCAGCTCCCTCAGGAGAAGAACCAGGCAGGAATTCTGTTGCAAAGCCAACCAAGAGGCAATTGCTTGAGTCTCACACATTGCCATCGTTCTGCTTGGCAGCATGTAGGGCGGCATCGAGTCAGCACCTCCAGCTGGGATTAATGGTGACACCAAAGTTAGGATGTGATGAAGCAGAGGTGTAGAACGCACGGTGGGTATTTCTGGGGACAAGGAGGATGTAGGATTGAAGGTCCAGGGGAGCAGAGATGCGCACAGCATGCCCCACTGATAGTGACTCTTTTTGCATTTCTAAAAACAAGAGTTAGGAATTTGGGCTGTCTTTTTTTTAGTGTCTCTATGAGAGATACCAGTTACTGCATAGTGATGCTGGACCTGGAATTGCCCCCACCTGGATGTGTTAGCTAAACCAGCAGAACTTTATAAGCGTCTCATCATTTAGGATCTCTTCTGTCTTGCTGAACTGAAGCAAGTGATGGGACTATTGCTACGGCTCACTCGTCTCCCCGGGTTAACCCACACAGTTTTATGACCCTGGAGGGAGGAAACACCTTTTTAGCAGGGAGGATAAGATCTGAAGCCAACCTAAAGCACCCAGCAGGAGCTGGTGGTTGCTGCGGGCACACTGCAGATGGAAATTCAACCTGATGACATGCACAGGGAGCTCAAGGATGTGATCAGCGCAGCTGGTGGCTGCCTTCCAGTGTGGGCACAGAACCATCATGGCACATGGTGGCACCAGCATGGCACTTTCCTTTATGGTGTGAGCTCTTGCAAGAGGGAATGGAAGGTTTTTCAAAGACAAAGCAGACTGTTAGTCTGTACTCTACTGCAAGAGGTTTGTTCCCTTTCGAAGCAAGGAAACCTTGCAGCAATTCCATGTGGTTTGGTACGCACGGGCACTGACTGTATTCCCACTCCATCGCTTCATCACTGGGAGTTCAGCTATGGGGGTTTTGTTGGTGAATTTAAAAGCCAAAAAGATGCAGTCAGCCATCAGCTTGGAGCTGTATCAAGGTCCTGGGCTGTGCCCGCAGGCACAAGCTGACAGGCAAACACACACCATTGTATTTGGTGGCAAAACAGGCAAATTGCAGCAAAGTAGAGGTGCCGGCCATGTGCTCACTTCCACATTGGAAATCATCTCTTAGGGCCAACATACTGGTGGTGTTTTGGGACAGAAAACACTCCCTAAGCCAGCAATGTGGGTATAGTGGCGCTGAGAAAATCCAGCACCAGCTGCATTGCGGACACGCTCGCTGCATTCTGCCCACATTACCAGCACTATTTGCAAAAACCTTTTGCGGGCAGTGGGGCAAAGGAGGAGCAAAGATGGGCAGCCCAACACCCTACATTAAATGTGCTTCCTTTCTCTCTTCTTTTTCCAGATTTTATATTCAGAGCACCCATCAAATTAAGCAAACCGGGGGAACTTCGAGAAGAATATGAAAGCCAGCTAAGGAAGGTAGAGTACTCTCTGTAAATGCAGTTTTTCTTCCTGAATCACATGGATTTCCATCAGGAATGCCATCCTACCTGTAAGGAGGCTTGAAGGGCTTTTCATCCCTGCTCTGTAACAAAGGTCATTTATTCCCTTTTTGCTGCTCAGCCAGCTCAGGGAGGTGTTGGCAGCAGCCAGGCGTGCAGAAGCCAGCTCCTGCTGCCTTGGGCTGCCTTCCAGAGCCTGGAGATGGACCGTCCTTGGTGGACCTCGATTATAAAGGGTTTGTGAGAGCATCTGTATCCCTGGAGGCAATTCTGTAGAGAATTTTGCATTTTGTATGTTTAAAAAAAGGGATCATTTGAACCTAAGTCACTGAAATTCTCTGGCATGGGCTGCACAGAGCTGTGGGGGCCCCATTCCTGAAGGTGCCCAAGGCCATGAATGGGGCCCTGGGCAGCCTGAGCTGGTGGGGTCAACCAGCCCACAGTAAGAGTGAGGCTGGGAGGGGCTTCCAACCCAACTATGCCATGATTCAATGATTCTGTGATTCTATGAAATGCCTCCAATGGCTTGTCATGTACAGAAATTTGAAGCAAGAAACACTACGGCAAAAGCAAGGACTGCTGTAGCTAAGCATCTAATTGTTTCCAGTCCCAATTGCTTTATTCCCATAACTGTGCTCCTACTGTGTTCCTGGACTCCTGCACGATACTGCTGGAGCAGCACCATGATGCTTTCTGCTTTGGGATGTTCCCCACTGTTCAGTTTGCTTGCTGGGAAGACAGAGCAGATTTGTCACTGATAACATTTTCTTTGGGCTTTTGTTTGAAGGTCTCGACAACATAGAAAGAGCTGGAATGTTTAGATGGAAAGATAACCTCGTACACTGACTAAGCAGGAAAATACACCTTAGGTGGTATTTCAGGTAAACAGCTACTCAGGGAATGCCTGTATTAAAATCACACATGAATTAGGTGGAATTTTTAAAAGGGAAGGGTTTTCTCTCCTTCTCCATGTCTGCAATTAGTAGTGCAACCTCATTAGGATCACTTTGATTGTAACCTTTAGTTAATTGATGGTAAGGAATGGAAACTTCTTTGGTCCAGCCTACTTGTGCTGTGTACGTCGGGTGCTGCGGCTCTTCTAGCAACACTGAGACACTTTGTTGAAGAGGTGTTGGGTGAGGCAGCAGTGCAAGACTAAGCACTTAGAAACAAAAGTCTGGTTTATTAATTAACTTAAATGTGCACCACTGTATTTGGCAATTGAATTTATTTTTGCTGGAATCTGGAGGACGAGTCTGTTCTACTTAAAGAAGAAAGCAAGCTTTTCATGTAGGTATTAGCAGTAGACCTTGCCAGGATATTATGAATATCCTGGTAAGTGAGTGAGATAATTCCCACCATGATTTGGCAGCCAGCTCATCGTTTCTGCAGGTTTTCCTGCTTTCTGAGGCAGAACATCTCTGCAGGACAGACTTCCTGGCTAGTGGGTTCTTTGTCACCGTTTCCCAATTCTGATCACACAACTAACTTCATATACAACATACTAAGTTCATATAAGCAGTCTGAGTCACAGTCAGCTTGCAGCAGGCTGCAGAAGTCTCTGCATCTGCTGCTTGACTTCAGTAAGGAGATGCCACACAAACATGCACCAGCACCTCTCACTTCCCCATCTGTGTAAAGGAGATACTTGAATGTTCCTCTGGCATTTTGAGGATGTTTGGCTGTTGGCTTCCCCTTTTTGCTCATAGAGAGATGGGAGAGGGGTTTCTATGCCATCACAGCAGAAATTTCAGCTTTTCCCTTGCAATCTGGCAAAATCTTAACTCTTGGCTCTTTTAACTCTTGGAAGGGAGAGTCATATGGTGCCCATGATTTTCAGGGGAAACTTCAGAATTAGGCAGCATCTCCTATGCAGAGGGCTCAGATTTGGGGACCAAAGCTGGTGTGTAACTGGGTTTTCCTCTGTCTGGAGTCACATGGTGTCACCTGGTGGTGACATGAGGACAACCTTTATTGTCTTCAGCCTTCCAGCAGCTTTTACATCCCCCATGAACTGTTTTCCAAAGCTGAGTTCTGGACTTCCTTCCCTCCTCATGCAGTTAAAACCAAAGTGGTGGCCATCATTCTGCAGTGAGAAACTTAGTGGAAGTGGATCATCTTGTGGTGTGATTTTCTCGGCACTGAGTGACCTGGCTTTCAGAGTCAAGCACTTGCTTCCTACCTGCAGGACAAGAATTGTTTTCCTTTTATGCCGTGTTTTTTTACCCCCCTTTGTGAAATGACTGCCTCCTGGTGATGCATGCTGGCACAGTTTGTGCTTGCACCTTCAACTTGCTGTCCTATGGGTTTGCCTAAAATTCTTAGATATTCCTTCCTACATGTTATTATGTAAGCTTGTGGCTTTACATTTGGGAATTGGGTATGATTTTGTAAGTTGGAGAAAAAGCCAATATTCCCATCTAGTCCTTTCATTCATATGGAAGGGATGGAAATGTTGGGTGGGATTTCAGTTGCCCCAAAAAGTCATCTTTATGATGAGCCTCAGTATGACCTTTTGTCTCAGGTACTTCCAGAGGGGCCTCTCAAAGCACAGAAACACTGCAGAAACCTCACAAAATGCACAGCAGAGTACTACCCATGTCTCAGTCACATGGCAATAATCTCTCTCAGTCAGATGATGTTCTCGCTTCAAATTATTAATAGATCAGGATTTCAAAGATGTGTCTTCAAGCATCGCTAAACTAGAAGCAAAATCTGTCTTTGGAACCATTTGCTACACACCCACCATCACCCAGATGAGGTTTTTTGCTGCTTTGTGCCTTCTCTTCTCCTCCTCCTCTTCCCTCCCTCATCCCTGTAGGTTCAGATTCAATAGAATTTGGATCCTTCCTCATCTGAAAATTACACTTTGCTTTTTGTGTAATGCGCTGTAAAGCCAGTTTTCTTTCTTCAGCTTCTAAGATGTGTTCACTCACATGTCCATGCTTATTTTTTTAACCTTGAGAAAGGGAAGAAAAACAGAGCGTATTTTTTGAAAAGCTAGTTGTTGTTGCAGTGTCACCGACTCTTTTCACATACTGTGCTGCAGTGCAACTACACGAACCCCAGGAAAGCTTTGTACCTTTATATCCATCAGCACTGGAAGGCAGAAGGACACTGCTGTCCTAGCAGGAAGATAGGAAACCATGAGGAGATCCCACACTGAGCTGTGGGGCAGAAACAGAACTGTAATTTCAGAGCAGGAGGTTGGAACTGGATGATCCTTAAGGTCCCATCCAGTCCAACCGTTCTGTGAATCCTTGTGCTGAGCACAACTGTGAAACAGCAGCACAGACCTGCTGCTGACAACCAGAGGTCAGACTTGTCAAGGAGCACCACCTATAGATGTGGGGTGGAAAGAGAAGTTCCATCCAGGCACCCAGGTGGGCTCTTCGTGGCGTTATATGCAAGTGTTGAGTTCAGGAAGAGATGAGGGGCTGAGAAATGAGGGAGGAGATGTATTGTGGTGTTACCCTGGGCAGCGTGGCCAGATGGATCCAAGTGCATGCTGCACACCTTGTTCAAAAGGAAGAGATGGGGGGGTTGGTTCAGTCTGGAGAAGAGGAGGCTCAGGAGAGACCTCATTGCTCTCCACAACTGCCTGAAAGGAGGTTGTAGTGAGGTGGGGTCTGCTTCTGCTCCCAGGTGGCAGTGATGGGACGATAGGTCATGGCCTCAAGTTGCACCAGAGAAGGGTCAGGTTGGATATTAGGGAAAATTTCTTCTCTGAAAGTGCGTTGATGCTCTGGCACGGGCTGCCCAGGTAGGTTGGGGAGTCACCATCCCTGGAGGTGCTCCAAAACCATGTGGATGTGGCACTGAAGGACATGGTCAGTGGGCACAGTGGGGATGGGATGGGGTTAGATTTGGGGATCTTGGAAGTCTTCTCCAACCTTAATGATTCTGTGATGGTGCAAAGGAGGAGAGGAGGCTTTGTTGGCTCTGAGCAGCACATCCCATTGCAGCCCATCCATCTGTGACCACATTAGAGTAACCTTTTGCTTCAGGAACGCTGAAGCCTCTGTGTAGGCACAGTCTGGCCAGGAGGGGCTGATGAAGGGTCCATCTGAGCTGGTTATAAGCAGCCATTGGGCAGTAAGTTGTGCTTTTCCCAGCAGGGCAGCCCTAAGCTACCAGAGCTCAGGGAGCACTGGGATGCTGCTCTCAGCCACATGGTTTGAGATTGGGTGGAGCTGGGAGTTGGTTTGTTCCTCCCAACTTGAAATACTCTGTGATTCTAAGCAGGGGCAGTGAATGGAAGGAGCACAGTCCATGGGGTACAGCAACACCACAGTTCAGTGCAGAGCTCATGGGAAAACACAGCAGGGCACTGCTAGAGTTACCATGGCAGTTTTGTAGGATTCCTTGTTCAGCTTTCATTCAGCCTTCATTTGGGCTCATAAAGTGCTGTAGTATAGCACATGTAAGTAAAACAATGTTGCTTCACAGTCTTTGAGATTTGCTACCAGCCACGATGCTAAAAGTGATGAGAAAATGTCTAAAAGCAGGTGAGAATTCAAAATCAAGTTACAACTTTGGGACTCCTGTTGGCCATTAGAGGGTTGGATGGTCTCTCTGGATCGCCTCCATCCCAACACGTCCATGAAAAAACAGAAGTTGTTGAATAGCATGGGGATTGCCATAACTCACAAATGTGAATTCGGGTGGTGCTGTCTATATACCTGGCAAGTTGTGTGTGTAGTGTTGCAGTCCATTTGAAGACTGAAAAGTTGTAGCTTGCATGAAACTATTGTGTGCATGCATTGTTCTGCCCTATTAATTTGTAGTGTGATAATCCACAAGTAGACAGAAGCTTTTTTCTCTCGTTTAGAAACCAACTTAGCAGAGAATTCATTGTCAAACATTGCATCTAACAGTGCCTTTGCTGTTTTGCAATGATATCCCTGCTTTGTGTAGATGTAGAAAGAAAACAGTCTTCCCATGATTGCTTATGAGGAAGGCAGAGCAGAGAAATGGAGAGACAAAATAAAATGTTGTGGCCAAACTTTTTTGGAAAATCACTATTGACAACCAGGTGTGGAACTCAAGGCATTTCAATTATGCTGTTTCTTTTGTCGTTGTTTCCAGCTGAGAGAAGAAAAGGTACAAGAAGAAAAAGCTTCTGAGGACCTGATTCACAAGCTCATGCTAGACGATGTGGAAGTAGGAAAACGAAAAATGGAAGAACAGCAGAAAAAAGATGAATCTCTCGTGCTCAAAGTGAACCAAGAGTGTGTAAGTAAGCTTGTACTTTCCAGTCCGCATCAGAGGCACCAACCAGGTGAAATACTGCTGAGATTCAACCCTGGAGCAGGAGTTAGGTTTCTTAAGATGTTTCTTCCTTTGACTCTACATGCTTTCCAGGACTGATTTCTGGATAGCCCTGAAGGATACAAGCTAACAGCTCACAAAGATTCATACTAACAAGACCTATCTTCTAAGAAGTCTTATCATGACCACAAATGTCTTTCTGGAGGTTTGTCTCCACTTCTTCCACCCAGTTTGCTCACGACTGAAGGTGCAGCTGCACTGAACATGCAGAGGTGGCACACAACCATTCCTGGAGCGTGTCTCCACAAGTCCCTTACAGTGTGGCCCTATTTCTCTTTCCAGTTCTGAGACTCCATAGGAAATGCTCTTAAGAGGTAGAGGATTATTTGGGCTCTGGCTCATGTCCCATAGTACCTTTTTTGTAGGATTTTCTCAAGTTTACTGCTCATCCAGTGCTTGATCTTTAAATTACATTTGTTGGGCATATCACAGCCGTACATAGGAGCTGTGTGCTTATTTTTGCATTATTTGTTCTTTGGGGACTGGAGCTCTTACAGCTTGAGTGAAGAAAACTGCATGAGCATGTGCATCTGCTGGGAGGTTGCGTTCATAGTTTATATCCTTGAGGTCTCATCACATCAGAGGCTTTTGGAATATTAATACCTTTGCAAGAAAGACCTTTACTTTCCAAGTGATTCTTTTTGTCGTATATATCAGCTAACTCTTCCTTGATTGACTTCAGTTTCCTGAACGTCTCTCGGATTCAGAAAATGAAGAACCATTCCAAGGCAAACAAACACATCGGTCAGCATTCGTTTCCAAGACCAGTGCCTACTCCTTCGCTTTCCTTTCAGGGTAAGATGATGAGACTCCATTGAGGCTGATTAATGTGCATTACAGATGTAGCTGTCTTGTTCTTCTTGCTGTTGTTCCAAATGTTCCTGAGATGCTTTGAATTTAATTAAAAGGGTTGTTGCAGTCCAAAAAAAGCAGTCACTATTCTGGAATTTAAGAATTGGTAAATGTAGCATCTGTCTGATTACCTCCTGCCTGCTGTAAAATCCTGGGAGTTAATGCATTTACTGAAAAATCACTAACTGTAGATTTAAGTTGCAAAACTCAGAAGTAAAGAAGAATTCTTTATGTTAGATTCAAGTGCTAGATCTATCTCCAGCACACATGCTAAGAGGCAGCATCTGCCCCAAACCAGTTATCAGTGAGAGCTGCTGCATGAGGCACTGCAAGCAGCTGAGTAATGCAGTGTGACTTCACACAAGCAGCACACAGGCTTCTGTAGCATTGTCATCAACTCTGACCTCAATTAGTTACGAGGGGTAGAGGTGTCAGGGTATTTAGCACAGAGCCTTTGAACACAGACTGGTGTTCTAGGGAAGACTCGGGTGCTGTGGTGTAAAGCTGCTATTCCATCTGCAGCTTCAGCTGCAGATTTCCATGGCCAAAATCTTGGGCAGCGTCTGCTCAGCGCTGTGGCATCACCCTGAAGTGATGCAGGCAGCACCCACAGCCCTGCAGGGCTCATGGCTTTATTCCAACTCTTACCAAGATTATTTAGAATCAGAAAATCATCAAGGTTGGAAAAGACTACTTAAGATCATCTAGTCCAACCATGTGAACCCATCTCAAGACTATTGCTATCACCCATGACATTTCTGCATAACATACAACAGTTTGGTTGGAAGAGACCTACAGAGGTCATCTACCCCAATTGCTTTTGGTTGATGGCTTCATTCAGCAGTCTGTGTGGTCTCAGCATAGAGGTGGGCAGCAGCCAGCTGTTCCCATCAAATACCCACCTCTGGGTTTGGGGCTCTGTTTGCAGAGACATGGTCCCAGGTTTCAGGTGTCCTTTCTGCTGGGGATATTCAACATTGCTCCCAAGATAAAGAGCAATCTCCTGCTTTACAGGAACCTAACCTCCAAGGTGGAAAGGAGTCGGAGCTGCAATGACACTATCCAGGAGAGATCAAAGAGCAGGCAGAGATCAGCCCCAGTCAACAAAACAAAGGTACCACCTGTTCCCAACAGCGCGCGGCGGGGAAGGTTTGATGTGTCACGTCCTTATCTGAGGTCATACAGTGCCAGCAATCTGCTTATATCAGATACTGGTTTTGTGGTGGTGTTATTGCCCTGGGCCAGTCACCTCCTTGCAGCTCATAATAAAAACCTGCCAGGTTCGAAATTACAGGGCAGGAGAGCAGACAGCTTACCAAGCTGTTTGTTAGTGTTGTGGGATAACTGGAAATTGGAAGGGCTCTCTTCATTCTTTTGTTTTGTAATTTATTTTCTTTCCAAGGCTGAAGCCCCAGCTTCAGGTAAAGAAAGTTAAAGAAAAAAAATCATAAAAGTTTAGAAGAAAATCCTCTCTTCCTCCCACTTTCTCCCCTGTTCTTAATTCAGAGGTGCTTAAAAAGTTGTTCAGAGTTGTTCAAAGTAGCTTAAGCAGAGCAAAACTCATTGCTCCCCTGGTGCTAGCATACTTTCTTTGGTGCTTTCACTGAACTCTCTGCTATGGAAAGAGTCAGCCTGGTCTTGCTTCCCTCAGATCCAGGGAATTAACGACATCTGTTACACTGTGCACCAGGCCTTATGTCTCAGTGGGCAGGGACCATGGTCTTGAGTCTCTTCTTAAAAGCTTGGTCCAGTTCTGATCTAAACTGGACTGAGCTCCAAGTGAGAGTCTGTGTCTGAGCCGCCCTCCCAGGCCATGCATTTTTTCAAGCAGATGGTGTATGGGCCTGGCCCAATAAAAGCTGTGCTGCAGGGATGTCCCACAAACCTGTTTTGACTCCAAAACAAGCCAGTAGGAACCATTTACCTTTGGCTGTGTGCAGCTTTTATGTCAGATTTATGTATGGGTGGGTTCTGGCACATCCCAGGTAGAACAGCATTAGGAGATGACAAGAAATGCTGCTCTTTGGGTCTGCCAGAGATTGGCCCCACACTGGCACTGTGCGTGGGGAATGCTCATGGAGGTTCCACTGATCTGCCTCTGGCACACAAACAACTTTTTGTAGAGGGGTGTGTTAAACCTAGGCCAAGTATTCATTCTTGCTCCCCTGTGCCTTGTTAGGGAGCAAAGAGCCCTCTGGTGACCAATACCTTTGAGGAGAGCAGCTTCCTGCAGCCAGGACAGTGCTGGGGCTCCTCAGCATTGTTTCACCAACAGAGGGGTTGCCATTTGCCCTATCCCAGTGGCCCAAAGAGCATTTCTAACACTAAAATAAATTTGAGACACAGATATTAAATTGGATAGAAGGAAAAGTTTTTTGTTCTGGTAAGGGTGGTGAAGCACTGGCACATCTTGCTCAGAGAGGTGGTGGATGCCCTGTCTGTGGAGACACCCAGGGTCAGGTGGTGGACTCTGAGCACTGATGGAACTGTGAGTGTCCCTGTGCACTGCAGGGAATAAGATCAGATAGTCTTTATGGGCCCCTTCTAACTCAAACCATTTTGTGATTCTGTGATGGTGCTGTGCTGTTTTGACAGTATTGTATGTCCAGTGTTGGTGGTGACATGTGCTGTAACGAGACTGCATAGAAGAGGAGCTGAGCTGCAGCCCCATGCTGCATTTCTCCCCTTCTTGCCCATATTTTCCCGTTCCCTTCTCCATGACAAGCTTGTTGAGCAGCCAAACCTTGCCTTGCAGGTCCCACTCATCACCAGTGCATCAACACCTCTGCTGGGAGTCCTTTCCTCCACCCAGAACAACCGCTGCCTCTCTGCCCCGGACCTGACGGCGGAGAAGCGCCCACTCCTCAACCCCGCGTCATCTCTCTCAGCCCTGCACAGACCAGAGCGATCCATCAGCCCCGAGAGCAATGACAGCATCTCAGAAGAGCTCAACCACTTCAAGCCTATTGTCTGCTCGCCGTGCACACCTCCCAAGAGGCTTCCTGATGGCCGTGTCCTCAGCCCTCTCATCATAAAATCCACTCCAAGGAACCTCAGCCGGAGCCTGCAGAAACCGACCACCTACGAGGCCAGCCCCAGAATACTGAAGAAATGGGAGCAGATCTTTCAGGAGCGCCAGATTAAAAAGACTCTCTCTAAAGCGACCCTTACGTCGCTGGCTTTAGAGCCCGGGGAGGATGTTACACTTCCTGACATCACCCATAAGGAACATTCCCAGATTCAGGATGATCAGCTGCTGCCAGATGCGACAGGAGACCCTCACCCTGAGCTGGATTTCCTTCCTTCTATCAGTGAGATGAAGAGAGGGAGTGAGAGGAGCAGGGATTCCCAGGCCTTAACAACAGACAACAGTGCTGAAACAGAGATGCGATTGAACCCGGCCCCATTGCATGCACGCATGTCCGAAGCCCCTGACGTCAAAGCCAACGTGTTCACGGACAAATCCTGTCTTAATCTCGGCCCCAAGGTGCTGGGCAGAAGGGTCATGGGGATGCCAGACAGCAGCACTCTGGGGGTCCTGTCGGGGAAGAAGCAGCTGAAATGCCTGAACAACAGTGAGCTGATCAACGTGCAGAACAACACCTGCAACTCCGTCGAGAACATCATCAGTGAACAGCCGCCAGCGTTACGACGGGGACGGAAGAGACGCTGCAAAACAAAGCACTTGGAGCACAACGGCTCTGTCAAAAGACTGAGGCACACAGCAGGGGAGCCGGGCTTGGAGGAGCGCCTGGTGCGGGAGGTGGAGCAGAAGCTGCAGCAGGAGGAGGAGGACAGGAGGTTGGCCCTGCACCTGCAGCGCATCTTCGACAGCGAGAACAGGACAGTGGATAGGCGGAAAGTCAGGGTGGATCGGTACCTGCTGCGGTCGAAGAGCACCCTGGGTGCCAAGTAGCACTGGTGGACGATGTTGCCTTTCTAGAGGACGATGAGGTTTATCAAATTATCTTATAGGAAAGCTATTTTTTGTCATACTTCCACCCACGCTGTCGTTTTTCATTTCAGTGATAAGACATTCGAGGTCCAGTTCAGAGAGAAGCCAGAGTCCTTCCAGATTTATAAAAAAGAGGAAAAGTTCCTCCAGCCTGGCTGGTCCATTGGTCTGAGAGAGGTCTGGCATCCTGTGAATGCACTGCAGTGCAGCTGGTGGTTGTCCTGGCTGGAAGGCTTGGTTGCACAGGCAGCCTGGGTCCTGGGCATCCTACTCCATGCTGGAGTTCCTTCCAGCCTCAGCTGTTCCATGGCGGACCTCATCCATTCATTGCCATGTCCATATTCCACAAGAAATCGGAGCTCTGCTTGCAGAGGAAACCAGGCTGGTCCCATCCTGGGATTTGCAGAAGGGATCAGGGGATCCACCTGCAGTGCTGACCAATGAATGTATCTCGCTGGCTGCACCAGCAGTGCAGATCAGAGGTTGTCTTCTACAAGTAGAAGGCAAAATGCAGTGAAAAAAAGTTGTAAAATCAGGTTTTTATAGAAAAGCATTATAGGAACTTGTACGTTCATGTTAATGGTGGGGCAGAGAGCATCTGGAGCCGTCCTCCAGGCACTGCAACCCAAGGAACAATGCAGCTTTTCTCCCAGGGTTTCACCTCTCTTCTAAATGTTGAAGCCCAGAAAAGGAAATGCTGCTCTGATGATGGGAAGAAGGGGGCAGGCACTGTGGGCTCTGGGTAGGTGCAGTGCAGGAAGCGTAGCTGGCCTCTCCCAGCACGCAGTGAGTGCAGCAGGGATGGAATGGAAGCCCAGTACTCCTGCCGTGGAGTGCAGGAGGTACAAGCCATCCTCCCCACTGCTTAAACCACTACCAGCTCAGGTGAGCAGTGCACTACACAAACCTTCAAGGTAGAAGGTTGGGCACAGGGCTGCCATTGGCTGGGGTGCTGTTGGGCTTGGTGGGGTAGAGTTGTGCCTTTGGTGACAGTCACACTCGGGGCTTTTCTACCTTTTCCCTCTCTTCCCCATCATCCAAAGTGATTCTTGGGTTCTTGTGAGGAACTGGGCTCAGGAAGAATCAGCTTCATCTACGGGTGCTGCTTTGCAGTGCGTTCGGGGGAACGTTGGTGCCAGGGGACGAGTTTTGCAGGATGGACCTGAAGCATGGGACAGCTTGCTGTGACCAATCCCAGAGAATTGTCGTTGCCCATATTCCTCCTATCTAAAAAATGGCTGAATGTCTTCCTCTTTAAAAACAAAAAGAAAAAAAGGAACTGATTTTATTTTTCTCTTCCACGTCCTTGTGTGACTGCAAGGACCCTGGCGCTTTTTCCTAATGGAACTGGATTTTTTTTTTTTTTTTTTTAAAGAAAACTTATATTTTAATGGATAAAATTTATATATTTTAAATACTATATTTCAACAGATTGACATTTTTTGTTTTGAGAAAGCTTATAGCAGTGATTCCGTAATATATAGATCTGTATCCATATCTCCTTCACACACCAACTGGATGCTCTCTGATCTCTGGGACCATCCCTGCTCCCTTGCAGCTCTTTGGACTCAAATCATGTATTGAATCGGAAGAAAACTGAGCAATTGGAGCCCCAATTTGACCTAGAAGAGTGATGTGGAGATCAACAGCAACAGCCTGAATTTGCCCTCTGCACTGGTTTCTATAGAATAAGCTCAGGATGGAAACTCACAGTGATTTTTTCTCCTCCCATGAGTTAAATTTGCCTGTTAATTTTACATCTTGTTGCTGCCTCTTGCTCACGGTTAATCCTGGAACCCCGAACAGTTCCCTCCTTTCTCTTTTCTGGTTCTCAGCACTCTCAAAACAAACGTGCACACCAAAACTCACATTTCCGTGGGGTTTCCACACTGAATGTATCCTTTCTTTCCCCTCTTAAGAACGATTATGGAGCCCAGTGCACCAGGCCAGTGTCTTCTTAAATATCTTTTTTTTTTTTTTTTTAAAGACGAGTTACATAAATATTTATGTGTTAAACACATGGCTTCGGCAGCAGCTGGCTCCCTTAAAACCCGTCCCCACCTGCGCTGGGATGGAAGGAGACCTCCAAATGTTGTCTGTAGCTTGCACAAAAAGGAGTGGTATATCATTTCACTGATAAGAGCAGAAATCCCCGGCCTCCCCTGCTGTAATGGCAGGTGGTGGCCACAAGCAATGCCATCGGAGAAGCGGAATACCTCTTGCTGAGCACTGGGTGCAGCACAGGATCTGGAGAGGCCCTGAGATGGAACCAACCATTGGTCTGCATCTCCTGGAAAGCAGCTGCTGGCCCTCATCCTTCCTGCAGTCACCTCCTCTTGGGGACTGGGGGAAGCCCACAGGCCAGCACTGGCTCCTGGTTGTCCCCCCACCGTGTCCCACCATCCTGCACATCCCTAGGAGTGGGGTGCCATCACCCAGTGAGCAAATCTGCCAAAGATGCTGCCTGACTCTGCAAAGCAGCTCAGACACTTTGGAGCCCTCTGCATGGGATCAGATGTACAGAACGGTTCGTGCTCGGAGTCGGTGAGAAGAGAGAAACGAAGGAAAAGTGCCAAAAGAAAGGATGATGCAAGATGACTGTATGATGTTGTTCTATATTGTCAGTATTTTTCTTCCAATGCTATTGTACATGCAGTGCACAGTAGTCACGAAGTATAGCTTGAACAAGTGCTTCTTTGTATTGTATCAATGACAGCAAGGAGGAGGTAGAAGCCTTAAAGACTATCGCCGACGTTAAACTGAAGCCTTCAGCGCTGCTCCGGGGGCAGCGGCCCCACAGGGCTCCCAGCTCCTCACCATCTCCTGACATAAAAGAACCCATCCCCCAGCATCCCTAACAGGGATCCCACAGGAAACGATCCCACAGGAAAACCAGGGCCCACCAAGGATTGTTTCTGTGTCACCACGATGGTCTGGGATGTAACCATGATGATGTCGGATATCACCATGACTGTTGGGATGTGACAGTGTAGGATGTCACTGACTGTTTGGGATATCACCATGACAGTCTGGGATGTCACTGTGGTGGTGTGGGATGTCACCATGACTGTTGGGATGTCACCATGACAGAGAGCTGCGGGGCATTTCCTGGAGTACTGCTCAGTGCACCAACTCAGCACTGGAGCCATCTCCATGCGCAGTGCATTTCTGATGCAAACTTTTATCTTCCCTGTATCTTCAAAGCACGGCAACACATCAGAACAGCCCTAGAGCTAGCTACTCACTATGCAAACAGGAAAATCTTCAACTGATGACAAAAGGTTTCATGTATGCCTGGTTTTCTTGGTGTTTACTGTCAAACTGTTTGAAACAAATATCGATGTTGCTACACTTTTTCCAATACGCTTTAAATCGTTGTGCTTTAGTGTTCTCCTCCGCTGCCATCGGAGCACCGGTGCGGTGAGAGACTACGGTCATTTTGGATCCCAGCTGAACCACTGTGGCTTCATCTGAATGTTTTAAAAGCGATGGAAGTTGCTCAGAGACTGTTGACTTGCATGTGTAAATGTGTGGGTAAATGACATGCAGAGTCCGTCATGTTGTGGCTTCTGTCGTTTGGAACAGAGTAAATCCTGCTTGTGAAAAATTGTCACAAAACATGATATGCCAACCGTGTACAAATCCTGTATACCTTTTAACAGCATCGAGGACTTTAACTGCAGGACAAAGGCTGAGGTTAAAGCAGAATAAAACCAGGTTCTGACAGTGAGCTGCCTGGCTGTGCTGAAATTGCTGCGTGGGGAAGCCTAGTAATTCCACTGCTGCCTCTTCCGTGCAGATTCTGGGTGCCTGTGACCAAGTGCAGTTGTTGATTAATATTTTGCAAATAATGATAATAGCAAAGGTGAGTGTAATGACATTCTTCATATGGGTGTGAGCAGGTGGTGGGGAGTGCTTTTCCTCCAGTGCTCCTCTCGTTCCCCATCTCCTTGGATTACACTTGGTCACACTACTGTTTTCAGTAGGTGGGTTTGGGTTATTAATGCCTGTTTTGTGCTCAGCTCAACTCCCTGAGAGAGTTCAGGTCCAGCAGGCAGAGCCCTAGGGTGAGGACAGGAACACTGTGGCCTTGCTGAGAGCAGGTGGATGTGGATGGGGCTGTGCTGTCCCCCACTGTGCACTGCTGCCAGAAGCACCCTGCAACGCCCAGGGACTGTTTTGTGCAGGAGGAGAGAGCACATACCTTGTTTACAGTAATTGCAGAGCATGACAGTGAGCAAACACACCACTCTCATGTGCTACCACTGAAGCATTTCAGATGTTTTTGTGCTTTCAAGCTGGAATTTGTTGGCTGAAAGCCTCAGGTGAATCTCTTCACTGCACTTGGTTTTCCAACCTCAGGAGAGGAAAAATGGCTCCAAACAAGTCACAAATAATAACATACTTTTTTATCTTAGAGGACAAAGGTATGAGCTGCTTTATCCAACCCCTGCTGTGGATGTCACTTTGGGCACCTTCTTGGATGCTTTCTTCTGTGGCAGCAGCAGCTGTTTTGATCTCTGCTTGGAAGCTGCAAGAAGAGCTTTGACCACTGGTACCTCATCCCAAAGCCTGGTCATGCCCGGGGCCAGCTCCTTGCTGGCCTCAAACACCTCCTGGAGCTCCTCCATCAGCCTCAGTGCCTCCTGGTATGTCTTGGGGTTAGATTTCCTCTTCTGCAAAGCAGATGCTGGAAAAGGTACAAGCAGAGCACTGGCTCCTCTCAATCATAGCTCTCCAACATTTGAATTTCCCTCCTGCTTCCCTGTATGCCAGCAGCTCCAGCCCTCCCATCCTAACAGTGCAGGGGATGGGGACAGGGATGAGAGCAATCTTGAGCAATCTCAGAGTGCAGACAGGTGTCTGTGAGGCTGCAGGGCTGGATTCAAGCTGGGCAGTAGCTCTTGTTAGAGACTGCAGAATGTGTGACTCAATTTCTATTTTTTCCACCACTCTTTCCCCAACCAGTGCAGGGAAAAGAAAAGCATTGAGGAGCAGCCAGGTAGTGGGCTTGTACTAGCAGCTCAGGATTGTACCACCATAGGGGATGGGACAGAGATCAAACTTGGCCAGCGCTCAGAACATCACTGCTTCATCTCAGGGGCAATACATACTCTAAGATTTTCCCCCTGACAATCAGGTTTGGGGTAGGCTTACTCCAGCTTTACAGCCAAGAGACTGCAGCAGTGTCTGCTTTGCATTTACTCCTCTGTTAGCCCATAGCTAGAGAACATCAGTGTCCAGTGTTTTTGGCCGAGGGCCTCAGGGACGTAGGATGAGGCTGCAGCAATAGGGAGTGCCTCCATTCCCCATTACTGGGAGTTAGGGCTGAGCTCAGGAACACCCTCATCCTGCCCCTATGGTGACATGAAGAGCAGAGATGGGGGGCATGGGAACATACCCAAGGGGACACTGGTGACAGTTGAGCTGTTTCTCATGGCCACCAGGATTCTTTCCAGGACTTCTGCTTTCGTCTTTCTAGCAGGAGGGTCAGGCATCCTGCAGCGCTGTGAGGAAGAGAGGAGGCTGCAGCATGCCTTCCTCCTGGGTGATGCTGCTCCCCCTCCTTCTCCTGCCCCTCTCCCAAACTAACAATGTTCAAAAACCCTGGAGATGTGGCACTTGGGGACATGGTCAATGGGCATGGTGGGGATGGGTTGGGGATCTCTGAGGTCTTTTCCAATCAGAATAATTCTATGATTCAATTCTGTAATTCTAACCCAAGCCCGTGCTTCTGCACGAGGTGGTTGGGAACGCTTTCTTTTGGACCAACTGATCCATTTTAAGCTCTGACTGAAGATTGTAAGTGTTTTAAGCAACACTGAACAAGCTTTCCAAGACCCCAAAGCTTCATTATGGCTGCAGGGACTGTCATTTTATCATAACCCCTGCTCCTTGCCACCCTTTGCAGTACACAGGTTGTGGTAGATACCACTTCCAGACACCAACACCAGTGCAAGTGTTCTCTCCCTTCAGAGCTTGGGCTCATCACCTTTTTCTGAGGCACATAGGGCTTCTGCATGCTGTCCAGTCGTGGCTTGGCATCCCGGTACACCAGGGGGTGCTTCAGGACATAGTAGAGAGCCTGCACATTCTTCTGTATTCCTGTGAACCAAAGGGAAAAAGGGACACCAGCAGCTTTTTGGTGCTTCTTTCTTGGGCAGAGCAGACTACACTGCTCATCAATCTACCAAGGGTTTTCTAAGCAAGGGCCCCCAGCCCTCCTCACTCACCAACTGGCTCAATAAAATCTGGGTCAGTGTCTCCACCGAGCAGCTCCTCATAGCCCTTGTACCACTCTGGAACAGCCCAGGAGCTGCCTTCCTCCCTCTGCTTGCTCCTCTTTTCCAGTCTGTCCTCTGCCATGGGTTGCAGCAAAGGCTTGGAGTCATCCTCCACCTCAAAGCAGCAAAAGAAAGGACTTGGCAGCAGCACTTGGCCACCAGTCCAGGTGATGAGCTCAGCCAGAGCCTGTCCTGCTGTGAAGAGGTGCCTCCTGGTGGCACTGAGCCATGCAGTCACCACCTCATCTCTACATGCTTGGTGGAACCAGGCATGGGAGGGAAGGGGCCAACCCCATCCCAATGCAGACTTGCGATCCCAAGGAAAACTGAACCCAAAAGTTGCGGTGGTGAGCAAGAAAAGAGAGTTTTCCTGCAGGTGCCACAGGGACAATTTGTGCTTTCCTGTTAGCATTTCCACACTGAAATCCCTTGCAGTCAAAGGAGGATTATAAGCACTGGTGCTGTGAATACCCACACAGCAATGGCCCAGGCTCACACACCTGTGTCATGAAGAAGACTTCAACGTCCTCCTGGACTGTGCTGGGAGTCCTGGGATCACGTTCCCCATGCTCCACTGCTGGCGTGGAGCTGATGGGAGGCAGTGACTGGGATGAGATCAGAGGTGCAGCTCTTGCAGCCTTTGCCATGGCTGGGAGTGGTTTCCACATGAAGGCTTCAGCAGGAGCTTCCAGCATCAGTGGCTGCTTCTCGACTTTGGGGAGATGAGATGAGACCTGAGAGGACACAACAGTGTTCATGCGCGCTGCTGTGAGCATCAGCATTGTGTTGGACCCCCATGGCTAGAAGCTATTTCTTAGGGGACAGGGAGTGCACCAGCTGTAGGGCCACTCCACAGCAGCTTCATTTCCCCAGCAATCAGCCCTTTAGCTAAGGCTGATGGGCAGGGCTGGACCCAAAGTCTCTGTTCTGAATCCTGTGTGGGCACGGAGGAAAGAACTGAGAAGTGAGAACCCTCCCCACCCCTTCCCTTCCTCCATCCTACCAACCCCCTGGGGATCCACAAAGCCTATAAGCTCTTTCCTTTCCCCAGTAATCTGGGTCCCAGGCAATCCTACCCCAAATACTGCAGCCATGGTTCAGTCCCTGCCTTAGGACAAAGCCTGCTGTGCACCCTGCCCTGCCTCACCTTGCGGCTGGCTTTGAGAGGGATGGAGAAGTGCCACCTCCTCACAGCTGGGGTCTTGTGGTGAACAAGTTGAATCCCCAGCTTCTGCTGGAGGAGCCGGGTCAGCAGAGGTGGGTGTCCTGTAAAGAGCAAGGGTGCATGAGGGCTGCAGGCAGAAAATTTAGCCTGAGGCTGCACTACTGCAGTCATGGTTGGGCTGTTGAGTTCCAGTGGGACCAGGAGCAGCAGCAGGGCACTGCAAACAGGGCACTGCTGTTTGCTTTGCTCTTTAGCAAGGATTAAAGCACCTCCTTGGGGACCTGGGCCAGCACAGTAGCATCCAAATGCTGAATGAGAAGGGAATCCCTGTCCCAGAGAGGGAACTGCACCCACTCTGGGAAACCCCACGGACCAGCTCATACTGTACCACTGCGGGTGGTGGTAAGAGGGTTGTTGTGAAATGTCAGCTGCTTCAGACGTGGGAAGAAAGCCACAGGTAAGAGGGCTGTCTCATCCATAATCTGCAAGATAAAACAATTTGCCATTTACTCTGAGCAGCTGCCACTGAGCTGAGGCTGTAGAGTTTCATCCCAATACTACCAAAACATATCCTTCTGATGTATTGGGCAGGAGCCAAAAGCACCAGGAAGGGCATGTTAAGTCCACATGTGGTACTTTTCCACTGGGGCACACTGAGAGCATTGCCTTCCACTGGGCAGCTCCAGCAAAGGCAGGCCTTCATATCCCCCTGTCTCCTGATGAAATCCCCTATTCTGGTGAATACTGGTGAATTCTCAGGTTGGTAAGGCACCTATCACATAGGTACCCATTGCTGGTAGTGCCCCAGAGCCAGGCTAGATGGATTTTGGGCACCTAGGCTATGATTCTATGATAATGTGCAGGGGTTTAGACAACCTGAGCATAATTCAGCTGCCTAACAGGTGTCCTGTCCCACCTGAGAGATGCTGGGTATCTGAGATAAACGCAGGGGTTGGAGAGAGCTCTGCAGCAGAGGCCAGGATATCTCCAGTGGCACTAACCCCAGCTTCAGACAACTGAATCTCTATACCTGTCCAGAGACATAGGGCCCAAATCACCTTGTTGAAGGCCAGGCTGAGATGTTCCAGTACAGGAAAGAGAGCACAAATGTCTCTGCACGTGGAAAGAGCAGGCAGAGTCTTCAAGGCAGATGGGTCTCCCTCCCAGGGAACACCCTAAAAAGAGGAGGAAGAGGGTGAGACACACTCCAGAGGCTCTCCAGGACATGGCAACATCTCCACGTTCTCAGTGCACATTGAGATTGGTGCTTTCCCAACTGCTGCCTGTTGTGCTCTAGGAGAGAAAAGGAGCAAATCAGCACATACAGCCCATCCATCAGGATAGCATCCTTCAGAGCCCAAACACAACTGGAATCTGAATGAATGAACTCCAGGCTCCTGAGCTTCAGTCCCCATCTGAGTTGCAGAGCACACTTCCTCACACAGGAAGGATATGTTTGAGTGTTTGCATTAGTTTAAGCTCAGATCTATCTTGGTTAAGTGAAAACTTGTTCCTGACCTCCCTGATGACAGACAATACTTACTTGCAGCACTCAGAGTGTAACTTGCCAAACTGATGGGTTTATGCAAACTCTGCTGAGAGAGGCAAGGGGAAGTTTTGGAACCCACACCCCAAACCACAGCTCAGCCAGTAGTTCTTACCTGCATCGGGCATTCCTGAGAGTCAGGATTAAACATGATCTCTGCAACAAAACACAAGCAAAGTGAAGGATTTGATGTCCAGTACAGGAAGCTGAGCACTGGGCTGGCCCCAACTGCAGCAAGGTTGGGGTTGCCCTGGAAAAGCAAGTTAGCATCAGGCAGGAACTGGCTCAGTGGCAAAATGTGCTCCAGATATGGGTAGATTTGTGTCCAGTAAGAACCCAGTAGCACAGGTTAGCTGAGATGTCAAAAACAGTGCCATATGTCTTTCCTTCACTGTTTTGTCAAGCAGCTTCACTCACTAGTAAACACCCCGCAGATCTGGAAAGGTTTCACTCTGATGTAACTTAGCCCTTTCCCACTGTAACATCTTGCAGTATCAGCAAGGGCAGGGAGAGGAGTGTGCTGCTCACCAGTCCTGTCTGGAGCCCCGTTGTTCTGTAACACGATGTCTTCAAGCTGACCTTTCTTCCTTTCCAGCTCTGCTGGCACCTCCATACCCTCATGCTGCGACGGCCGGGGCTGCTGCCAGAGGCTGCTCAGGTACTGGTACCACTCTGCCCTGAAGCTGCCATCATTCAGCGTAGGGTGGATGGAGAACGGCATGCTCTCTGCTTGGTGCAAGTAGGGGACTGCTGAAATCCTGTTTCTGTCCAGATTCAGTTCCCTCAGGCTATCGGAAGAGGGAATGTATGGGAAACTCCAGTTTTGCTTTCAGTGTTCACACAGCCATCTGTTCGTCCTGGCTCTCGAGCTGCCTCCTCACTGGGCAGCCCAGCAGTACTGCAGAATTGTACTGACACTCTCATTCTGCTGCCCCATTGCCCCTCCTCCTGACAAATGAAATCCTAACTGTAAGCTCAATCCAACCCTACCCCTAAAGCCCAACACTTCAGTCCCCCACACCAGCCTGTGGGTCACCTAGCTGAAGCTCATCTCTTGTTGAGAATTTAACAGACAAGGAGACACCTTAGCAGCTCATTAAATCATCCATGGCTCTGAAGAGCTGTGGTTCTACTGGGGTTCCCTAACAACATTCCCCCTTTCCACAGAAGCATGACTCACCAGTGCACTTGCCTGGAGTCACAAGAGAACTTAGAAACCCAAATCTCTGCATGCCAGCCCCCAGCCTCACAATGAGCAATGTGACATTTCCTCCAGGAATATCTTGGCAGAGCCAACAATGCAGACCAAAGTCCCACCTTTGTGTCACCAGGCGCACTGTACACAAGCCCACCACAGCTCAGCTGAGCTGCCCCTTCCTAGTCACTCCTCTCTGGCTGAATCATAAAAGCTGACATGAAAAAAGGGAAGCTGATCTGCAGCCTCTCCTTGTGCTGCTGCACTGATAGAAAGGACAAACTGGAGCAAAGAAGAAAAAAAATGGAGAAAGCTGTTTCTCAAATCAGACCCAGAGATCAGCAGACATCCGGGGCAGGATCTGAGTTACCAGCCATCTGCTGGCTTTGGCCCACCTGTGTTTTGCAGCAGGCCGTTTGCTATTGTTCAATCCCATTTGCAACACTAGAGAGAGTAAACAGGGAAGTGTATCTGAGTGAATCACAAAGATTTTGTTTTCCATTTTAAGGCTGTTCCCGTGCAGCAACTGACAGCTGACAGCACCAAAAGCCAGCACTGTTTGCTGCCAGGTTCCTGCTTACCTGCGGAGATGAGACAGGCTCACAAAGACACCCGGGTCTGACAGACGGTTGTCATCCAGCAACAAGACCTCTAGAGACTGAAATCTCAAATGAGCAGAGCTGTGAATACAAAGAGGCTCATTAATAAGATAGTCAAGCAAAGACAGGTGAAAAACACATCCTCTGCTGTCAGTGGGAGACGTGTCTGCTCACTCTGCTGGGAGACAGGGCAGGGGCTGCTGGCATTTTTGAAATAGAAAACTGCTAACCTACCTAAAATCGAATCAGCCTGAAAAGACCATCTAGCTCAGTGCCTTATCTCCAACCATGGCAAAAACAGCAGGTGCCTTGGCATGGTGGCTGTGCTTAAGCTATTGGGAAGGCTCTAATTAATGACGAATAAACAGCAACCTGCTCATGTGGCTTGGCCAGCAGACAGAGCTGCTGAATCACGTCTCTGAGTCCCTCTCTGTCCCCAAGGACAGAAGATGTGCTGGGTGATCACGGTCCCAGCTCAAACCATCAGGTCAGCCCCATGGCTCCAGCATCCCACCCCTGTGTGTAACCCACTGGTAACTCAGGAACCAAACCAGAGCATGTGCACTTACTCCCAGGAGCCCGCCAGGTTTGGAGGCAGAGACCGAAGCCCATTGGCTGTCAAGCGAAGGATCTTGAGCTGGGACAGATCTCCCAACATCCAAATGTCTTCAGGGGATAAGTTATTGTAGGAGAGATCCAGATCCTGAAGGAAACAAAGAATAAGACAGCTGGCTTTACTGAGGGTGATACTGAATGCTTTTCATTGTGCTACAGGGACAGTTTTTTGGAGACATTACAGTAGGCTGCGTTCCCTGACAGGAGCTCAAAGCTCTTTCCAAATCAGTTTAATTTTCCAATCCATCTTTTCAGTGCTGTGCTGTCTTCTTCAGGTCATCAGCAACCAGGATCTCAGACACCAGGCATCAATAAAGCTGGGATCCATGAAGGTATCTTAGGAAGGGGAGTTTTGATGGAGAATAACACACAGATGAGCCCCATCCCCACCTTTCACAGGTGGCGCCAGCAACTAGGCTGCTTGCTTAGGGATGGAGAGGACTGGAAATCTAATTCTCCAACACCCAGAGCTGTGCCCACAGACTGAGACAAACCCTGAGTGAGTGGCCAAGAATACAAGGGAGACACATGCAGGAGCTCTCCCATGTTTCACAGATTTGGGGACCTCCCAAAGCCTGTAGGAAGGAGGAAGGTCAGGACCACAGCAGCAAAATCAGCCCTGTGGTCAGAGCCTACGGAGCTTGCAGCTGAGCTGCAAACCATTCTGTGAATGGGTCAAGAAAGAAGTGCTTAAGACAAAACTTTCCATCCAGCAGCTATCTGAAATTCTGTATCCAGTAAGAGACAGAAATCCAGGCAGGGACACCTCTGTGAAGAGAGCAAGCTCTCTGCAAGAGAGACCACTAAAAGCTGGAGGGAGAGGACAAACTACAGCCAGCATCCCAAGCATGTTTTTTGCTCTTAGGATCCATTTTCTCTCTTTTTCAAACAAACCAAGCAACTTACCAATCTGCTGTGTTAGAGAGGCAGCCCATAATTCATAGAAACTGTGGATACCTGGAGATGGGGAGGGTGCAACATGGGGAGGTAGAGAGTAGCATGGAGGAGGATGGGGATCTGCCAGCCATCATACAGCATTGTGTGAAGGATGACACTGATGTTTGACAGCCTGGCACTGGGGTGATCCCAGAACCTAAGGATGAGGGCCCATGAGGAGTAAAAGAAGGGCAGGGAGTGAGGAGAACAACAGGATCTACTGTGGGGACTCCATGATAAACTGGGTGGAGAGGATCCTACAGCACAGAGAGGTGGTCTGTTATGTGGAAAGGAGGAGTTCTATGGCAAAAAGGGCTGAGCAGCGGCCATCTGTGAGAGATGGCTCTGAGAGAAGCAAAATGGGGAGATCCCTGAGGGACAACAGAAAGGGCATCCCAGATTTAAAGAAAGCAGGAAGAGAGGATCACCCTATAGCTTCAGAGAACTCACACTGAAGGGACACTCATCCATGCTTTGTGCTATTCTTCAGCACTATGCTAGGGGGAGATGAAGAAGTCTCAGGTCTCTCTCAACTTACTTCTAAATGCTTGAACTCTCCAGGAGTGATTTTCAGGTTTCTCAGTCCATTCAGGGAAAGTTCCAGTTCCCGCAGCCCTGGAAACTTCCGAAATGGCTCTGCAAGAGTGAAAGAGGAAACATTTTAGCAACTGAGGAAGAGCAGTAACAGAGCAAGTCAGGTCTTGTCCAGTTCTGGGACGGACCAAAACCAGCATGAATGAGCAGGACTCTGTAACATTCAAGTATTATCACTTGACACACTTAAAAGAAATGCCAGCTCCCTTAGACAATTGTCCCTACAACATTTAGTTTGTTTTCTTGCCTTTGTTTCCCACCCAGATTGGATTAGTGCTTGAAGCCACTGACAGCACAGGGAGCTGTACATGTCTTACTAGTTATAAACAGATCTTCCATCTTAACTGAGCTCGTGTCACTGGATTTGGATTCACCTCTCAGCTCTATCATTACACTTCTGAGCTGAGTTGGGTCATTTCTTCACTCAGTGTTTCAATGTATTAAGCGGGGATTTTCTTTGCAAAGGGCTTTGCTTTCTAGTAACAAAACAGACACCACAGCAGCACGCAATCTCTACAGATGATAATGTCAGCAGGGAGCTGGTGCAAGGATTTCAGCTGATTTTAAACAAGCATAAGCCACCCTAGCTTGAAAAGCAGTTTTTTGGCAATGCGATCCCTTACCTAAAGTCAGCAGGTTCTCAGCAGCGTTTATAAAAGCAACACAATCAAATTTCTCAAAATCATCTTCTTTAGCCTGAAAGATATATTCAAATATACATACATAGAGCTCTGGCTGTACATTGATCTGAAACAATTGAGTCTTTCTGTTTCTCACAATGCCTAAATCACAGCACTTCCCTTAATTACATCTCTCATTGGTTGTCTGATGATGGAGAGCATCCCCGTGGGGGAGGCACACCTAATTTGGTGGCTGGCATCCAGAAGACCTGGACTAAGTGAGCAGCAAAGCAAAGCCCACTCTGTGCTCTCACTGCTGCCCACATGTGGCCCACCAAACTCAGCCACCCTACAGCACATCTGTCCTTCACAGCAACAGGCCAGAACCCTAAAAAAAAAACCAACACTACAAAGCTATCAGCACCTCAGATCCTTTTGTCTTTGTCACCAGCCCAAATACAAGTTGCTGCTGAAGTCAAACTACCGTAGCCGAAAGAAACATCCTCAAAACCAGAGTGAAGTGGGTGTAAATGGGGAACAGGCTACACCTGGTGAAGACCATGGTCATTTGGTTATGAAGACATGAGCCAAAGTTTCACAAGGCAAATCATTCAGGCCTGTTTACAGCTGGCTGGCTCACCCTCCTGTGCAGGAAATACTGTAGAATCACAGAAAATCCTGCACTGGAAGGGCCCTACAAGGTTCACTGAGTATAAATATGCATGGTTCTAACATGCTTTTTCTGATTTCTGCACCCTTATGTGCTGATATTTTTTTTTTTTTTCCTTCAATTTTTAAGGCAGTATGTTAACATTTATGGAGCCTCTATTACTCACAGAGACCAGATTTTGGCCGCTTATGTTCACAGAGCACAGGTCAGATGGGTTCTTCAAACAGTGGTGCTTCATCTGGAAGGAAAAAAAACCAAAACCAAACACAAATACTAAGCCCTGCACCATGTCCACGAGCAATCTTTTCTCATTCTGGAACCTGGACTCCAAAACCAGACCTGAAGTTGTTCCCTCCCTCACTGAGTGATTCACTCACCTTGTGCCTTGGGTCACAGCAAGTGGGAAGAAAGTGTCAGGGGGTTGGGGGAGAGAGAGGCACTCACCAGAAATGGCTCATCCAGGATATGGTCTTCATCGTTTCCTTGTGCAGAGACAGCACTAATCAGCTTCCTCCTCTCCTCTGGTGTCTCCTTGGTGGTTCCTTGCTCAGCCCAGGGCTGTGGGGTGGCTATGGGTGCCAGCAGGCAGCTCCCAGCCTCTGGGACAACAACACAACAAAACAGAGGAGGTGGCAAGGTGAGTTTGCAATGCTCTGAGTGTACTTTTCTTAAAGGGGCTCAACTCCACCTGATGTTTCAACCCAGCAGCAAAAACCATCATTTTAAATTCAATTTTTTTTATGAATAATTGAATCACAGAATCACTAAGAATGGGAAAGACCTCTAAGACCACCAAGTCCAACCCCACCAGTCCCCACTGACCAAGTCCCTCAGTGCCATATTCCCATAATTCTGGAACACCACCAGGGATAGTGACTCCCCCACTTCCTGGGCAGCTGTGCCACTGCCTGACCTTGCAAAGAAGATTTTTTTCCTAATACTTAACCTGAATACTGGAATATAAACTGATTGGTAGCCATATACTTAAGACAGCAACATAAAGCTGTAGCCACAGCCAAACAAGTCCAATCTCCTTCCCAAAGCAAGACTATCAGCAACACTAGATCAGCCAGTGTCCAGCAATTTTACTACCTCCCATGGCAATTCTAGCTGCAGATGTCCCTGCTCACTGCAGAGGAGTGGGAACAGATGGACTTCAAAGGCCCCTTCCACCTGAAACAATTCTGATTCTAACTCAGTATGCACTTTCTCCAGAAGTTACCAGAACTTTCTGCTAATATCCAATCTAAACCTCTCAGTTGCAATTTTTGACCTCCTTATGCTGCCTGCCACTATTAAGAAGAATCTGGTTTCATTCCTTCCAGCTTTCTTTGCAGCTGTAAGCACCAAGTTGTTCTCATACTCCTCTTGGCAAGATAAAGCAAGCCCAGTGCCCTCAGCTTCTCCTCAAAGATCACATATCCCAGCCCCCTGACCAGCCTGGTACACCTCTCCACTATTTCCCAAACAACAGAAGATATTTCTGCCATTTCTAAGCACTTCACAGATGTTGCTCTCAAACACAAAGAATCTCTAGCTCAGAACAGCTGATGGAGAGCTACACTGTATGCCCATCATGCTGAGATGTGTGCTGGAGCACATATTTAACAGACACCATAGACATTCCATCCCTTTCATTTCAATTCGGTTTTAATCGATTTTAAAACTTTTTAGGTACAGCTTTAAGTTCTGTTATCTGGGTTATCCACTATGAAGTTGATACAGAAAACTACCACTGGCCCACCACCCTCATGGAAGGCAGATCTGCCCACATGGACACAACATGAGCTACAGGATGACTTTGGCAGCAGCTCTCAAAGAAGTGTCACCTCTCCTGTTGCACAAAATGTTCCTGGCAGGAAAGCAGTTAGCTGCATAATTGCTCCCACCAGCCATTTTGTAGAGTCCTGCTGTAGCCATCTTGATTGCAGTACTCCTGGAAAGAGTGGGAAACAAATACGTGAGTTAATTTTTTCATTGCTTCTGGTATTGCCTTGCTTTAAGGAGCTAAGTGTAAGGGTAGTCATGAATCAGCTTGTACACTAAGGAACACAGAGAACATCACTGCTCTTAAAATAGAGGAGTAAATGAGGCAGTACATGGGTGTGCATGATTTTCCACCTCGGGACAGCAAGATGCTGTGTGTGAGTCAGGCTGGGTGGACAATGGTTTGTGAGATTTTTGCTTTATCCATTCCTCATTATAGAATCACAGAATTCTTAAGGCTGGAAAAGATCACTAAGATCATTAATTCCAACCATCAACCCATCACTATCATGCCCACCTTCCTTCCTCCTGCTCCTTTCTACTGTGATCTGAGAAGTCTCTGGGATACAAATCTCACACCTTCTAAACCCCACTATTAAACTTTGGAGGTGCTCTACCAGCAATTAACACTTTTATCCTGGAGCCCCTCAAAGAATGCCTTCATTGAGATGGAGATGCTGTGGATTTTATCACCGTGTGTGCACAAGGTCCTTCCAACCTCTATGTCCATGCACAGGCAGCAGCCTCCCATCTTGTAGCATGAAGAGCTGACAATCTCCAGGTGTCATCATAATGGTATCTCCACACCTGGACACTTTTCTGACACCCCACAGCACAGCTTGTCTACAGTGTTCACATACGGTAATGGCACCTGGGACAACAGTCACCTGCTTTATGGTCTGGGCAGTGAAATGTTGGCACTGGGAAGCACACACTGACACACAGCGGACCTACATCCATCTACACACCCCCTACAGCTGCACTCCATACACGTACCCCATTCATTAAGGTTGGAAAGGCCACTAAGATCATCCAGCCCAACCATTACTCATGCTCTAGACCACGTGCCACATCACCACAGTTCTGGAACACCTCTATGAGAGGCAGTGACTCCACCACCTCCCTGTGCCAACTCTTTCTGAGAAGAAATGTTTCCAACCTGAACCTCCCTTGGTGCAACTTGAGGCCATCACCTCTTTGTCCTATTGCTGTTGATTGGGAACAGATGCCAACCCCTCCTCACCACAGTCTCCTTTCAGGAGTTGGAAGGAGCCAGAAGGTCACCCCTGAGCCTCCTCTTCTACAGACTGAACCTCCCCTCCAGGCCCAGCAGCTCCCTCTCCCTCAGCAGACTACCTCCAGGCCTCACCCCCCCACACACCCCAACACACACAGCCCTGAGCAATCTCCCCTTGAGCCTCCAGCTCTCCAGGCTCGTCAGAGCAGCTCCAGGCCTCACCCCGTGTCCCTGTGCCCCCCGCCCCATCCTCCTGCGCGCTCCCCCCGCGGTCTCCTCGCCATGTTCCCCTCAGCTCCGCGCCGTCTCCATGGCAACCAGGGAGGCGCAGAGCGGGACTACAACTCCCAGCACGCCCCGCGCTTCCCGCCGCCGCCCGCGCGCAGCCAATCAGCGGCCGCCACATCGCGCGGGAAGGGCGGAGAGGAGGGCGGTGAGAAGATGGCGGCCAAAGGCGGCAGGAATGGGTTGCTCGATAAGGTGCGGGGCTGCCGCCCGACTTTGGCCTGTATTTCCTTTTCCTTTCGCCTCAGCGCTTCCCTTGGGGCTTTCTTCGGGTTCGTGCCGGCCCTCTAAGGCGCTGTGAGGGGAGGGGGAGCGGGAGGCGGCGGGCGGGCTGGGTGCTGAGGGGGCTGTGGGAGAGCCGGGGTGAGAACTGGGAGCGTTCGTCCTGGGGATGAGAGAGCTCCGAGGAGACCCAGTGGCTGCGGGGCCTCTGGGAAAGGTGGGGAGGGGTCTCGGTTGGGGGGTGGGGCGGGAGATGACGGCTTCAGTTGGCTCTCGGGTGGGTCAGGTTGGTTTCAGGAAAGCTTTTATCTGAAGGAAAGGTAAAGCACCAACGCAGCTGCCCAGGGAGTGGGGTTGTCACCCTCCGTGGGGGTTCCCAGAGGTGTGGGGATGTGATGCTGAGGGACGTGGGCATGGTGGGGGTGGGTTGGGGATCTGAGAGGTCTTTCCCAACCTTCACGATTCTATGAAAGCTATGGAGTCAGGCTGAGAGCTGGGAGCGTTCAGCCTGTGGAAAAGAGAGCTTACAGCACCTAAAAGGGGCTGCGGGAGAGCTGGGGGGGGGAGGGGGGCAGGCTTTTGTCAGTTACCTGGTGTTAAGCTAAAAGAAGCTGGATTTAAATTAGGTGAGGAAGAAATTTTTCACCACCAGAGTGGGGAGGTTCCAACACTGCAGCCCAGAGCTGTGAGCGCCCAACCTTGGCAGTGCCCAAAGTGGTGGATGGGGCTGTGGGTACTGGGCTGTGGGAGGCTTCCCTGCCCGTGGAGGAATTGAAACTAGCTGAGCTCTAAGATCTCTTCCAACCCAACTGTTCTGCGATTTATATTTTTTTAACCTTTCTCGTGTATCAGCTTTGATCTCAGCTCAGTTCCAAGCAGACAGGTGCTTGTGTCACAGCCCATCCTTGTGTTTGATGAGTGCTGATGCTCCTCTGTCACAAAAACGAAAGGCCTGGAGGCGTTTTGTTCACAAGATGAGAGAAACTGATACCTCTGTCTCAGGGGAAGGAGGGTACCTTCAGAGTGCTGTGCTTCCTTCAGCAAACTTCAAAGCAGGGATGGCTGCAGTTGCGAACAGACTCTTTTTCTGTTGATGTACGTGTATTTATAAGCACAGTTCTTGTGTATTTGTTTTGAGATGAAGTTCCCCATGCTGTGTGTGAGATTTGGTGTGAATTCTTCAACACAGCGTCAGCCACTGAGTGAATGCTGTTAGTGGAAGATGCAAACAAAGTACTTCTAGCAGCCTTCAACTCTGATGTGAGAGCACTTTGTGGTTACACTTCAAGAGCTCTAAGAAGTACCACACTCTCAAGGTGTTCTGTGTCTTCTGCTGTGTCCTCTGTGTGTGGAACTGTGGTTGTTTCAGAAGGAAATGAAGCAGTTGCGAAGGGAAGTAGATCATAGTGCAGGAGGAGTTTCAACAGAGCTGTACAAGGCACACACAGTTTTCTATCCTCCCTCTCTTTGTGCTGATCCACGTGCCTTTTTTTTCTCCTTCCTGATGACTTAAATCTGGTAATTTCTGTGTTGCAAAGGTGTTATCTGGTAAATCATGTTCTTAGTCCCTAAATTGCTCAAGTGTTTCTCAAGCAAGACAGCAGTGGCATGGGACTGAGGCTTTGAAATCCCATAAAAGGGCTGCTTGTTTCACATTTGTGTTTGTACTTCACCAGTGAGCCAAATCAGGATGAGTTCAGGGAGACTGGGGTGTTGACTATCCCATTTTTTGTAGTCTTTCTCATATTCTTTCAGCATTGATGACAACCAGGCAGTTACTCCTGACCCTGGGCAACTTGGTCCGGTGGTTGGCGACCCTGCACATAGGAGGGGGGGATGAAACTGGATGATCATTGTGATTCTTTTCAACCCAGGCCATTCTATGATTCATTCTGTGACCCATAGGACCAGGGCTGTGTGCCTTGGAGGGCTCAGTGTGCATTGTCTGCTGGGGCTCATCCCAGCTCCCTGGGCTGCATCTCAATGTCCTGATTTAAAGAGCCCACACCAGCATTCATATAATCACAGTAGAAACAAATCTTTCTTTATGACTTATGTTTTCAGTACTCACAGCATGCCTTAAACTTCAGAGTAGCATTTGGAGAGACAGGATGCCCAGAAGCTGCAGGCTACACTTGGGTGCAACGTAAAAGAAGCTGACAGGAGGGATAAGGCAAGGGGAAAATGAAGTTTGTGCTGTGTCTTTGAGATGTGAATGGCTTGACACCTCCCATAGGATTTTTCTGTGCCTGTTGCCAAGGAGGGAGGTTGCAGCTGTGGGTGAAGGTGAAGTCATGAAGGTGACTTCACACATGGTGAGGGATGGAGTGCTTGGAGCTGGGGATGGCTGGGGGAAGACAAAGCCTGTGTATTGCTGCTCCTTTTTTTTGGAGCTAAGAGCAGAATGCTTCCTTGCAATCACCCAGCTGCAGGTAGCAGTGTTGTTCAGGTATGGCAGCCAAGTCCTTGTGTGCTTCCTGTGCTTATGATTCTCCCACACATTGAAGCCTCGTTCTTAGGTGTGCTTTCAAGTACTAATCCACCTCTGAGGTGTGCTTGACTGTAGGATACTGCATGTGCATTCCCCTGGTTGTTATCCCCTGATATGGGAAGGAGAAGGCACACTTCTGTCACTTGGTTTTGAAAGAAAGGAGTTGAGTTGCAGCTGAACTGAAAATTATCTCAAAATGGCTGTGGATTTCTGTGAGTGCCCCTCTCTTGCTCCCACAGGTCAGAGAATTGAAAGAGGAGCTGTAGTGCAGTGCTGGGAGGAGGAACCTCAGGGGAGCAGAGGGACAGAGGTGAAGGGGAGACTGAAGCTTCTCCCTGGCTGAGTCCCACAGTGCAGATATGTCCCCACTGCATTGTCCTCTCTGGCCTGACCCACCCTGGGGAGCTCAGGATGGAGAGCAAGAATCCAGAATGTGATTCTCATGCTGCATGGGTATGGCTGGCCATACATCTGTTCCCCTGTGCAGATTCCTTCAGTAAGTGACATGCCCACAGTCGGGTGCCTCAGGGGACAGTGACCACAGAGTAGCTGTAAAACCCTGAGGCTTTCAGTGATAAGCCTGGGGGCTTTGTTTTCATTTATTATTTTGATTCCTGAGTCTTTTCTCATTGATATTTTCCAATTGTTCCATCTTCAAGCCTATCTACGAAGCTGTTGGTTTTAGGACATAAGCAGCTGGACTAAAAACTTGAGTTTTGGCAGTGAGATGGATGTGCTGTGCTTCAATGCCAGGCGAACCATGCTGCTGCCACAAGCAGAACTGTGACAAACATCCCTGAAGTAAGAGCAGATTAGGTGGCAGCCAAAAGGGATGTGTGGGACTGATCACACCTTCCCATCAGAGCTGGAAAGCTCAGGGTGGTAACACTGCCCGCTGTGCATCTATCCATCTGTGCCTCGAGTCTCAGAGTATCTTTTCCCAATGAAAAATTGTAGATATGTGTAAAGGAATAAACACAGCTCTTTCTTTGTCCCCTCTAGAGCATGTTGAGCAGGGGACTGCTCCACCTGCAGCGTGCTTTGAGCAAGGAGCATTGCTGTGTCAGGTGTTTTATCATAGAATCACAGAATGGCCTGGGTTGCAAAGGAGCACAATGCTCATCCAGTTCCAACCCCCTGCTATGTGCAGGTCACCAACCAGCAGACCAGGCTGCCCAGAGCCACATCCAGCCTGGCCTTGAATGCCTGCAGGGATGGGGCATCCACAGCCTCCTTGGGCAACCTGTTCCAGTGCCTCACCACCCTCTGGCTCAAAAACTTCCTCCTCATGTCCAACCTAAACCTCCCCTGTCTCACTTTAAGACCGTTCCCCTTTTAAAAAAAAATAGGGAATTCTTTCCCATCCTCTACTCCTGATAGTGTTGTTTGTCGGAATCTGAAGGGCTGGGAATAAAACTGCTGTGGATGCTTTTGTAAAGAAACATCAATAACTGAAAGAATTGTTCATTCCATTTCTTTCACATTTACTTCTTGCTCCTAATTCATACCTGTGGATCCTGAAAGGTAATCACGACTTCACCAGTGTGTGTGGGAGGGAGGAGGTCAGGTTTTACATCCTCCTTCCAGAGAAGGAAAGGAGCTCTTCAGACAGATGTGTTTGTAATGCTACTGGAGGGCTCTGGGGCTGGGATGTAACAGAGAGGAGTCACTCAAGTTGCTCAAATGGCTTTGATACAATGTACTGCTTTGAAAGGGCTCGGGTACCCAAGAACTGCCGCCACAAATACTGTCATTCAAAGGGAAGTTAATGCCTTTGAGCTGTGCTATCTGGGATTCATTATTGTGAAGGATCTGCTTCTGCAGATGGGTCTGAGGAAGATCTGAGCACAGAAGAGCTGCAGAGTTGCTTGGTTTGTAGCAGGGGATGTTCTGCCTGACACTTCTCTGCCGTGCCTTGTGTGGGTCTCTTACAACCCCGTTGGTAAAGGAGTTCTTCCTCCCTTTATCAGTCCCCAGAGGATCTGTGTGTAACTTTCTTCCCACAAACCATGAGTACCCTCAGAGGCCACAGGGAGGGCCATGCTACAGCTACCAGGATCAAAAGCAGAAGAAAACCAATGTAAAAAGTTGTTTTCTCAGTTTTTCCCTCTGCTGATGGCAGAGTTGAAATCTCCAGAGCCATTCTTTGGCAGTGGAGCTTTAGTGCTAGAGTGGCTGTGGTGCAACACAGCTCCCTCTCACACAGCTCTGTAGGTATTGGGGTTTCTCTCCTAACCTTTGCATTCCTGTCAGCAACAAGTGTGTTAAAAGGAACTGTTAAGCCATCCTAAATCTCTCACATTTTGCTCTCCATTGCAGTGGAAGATCGATGACAAACCAGTGAAGATTGACAAATGGGATGGCTCAGCTGTGAAAAATTCTTTGGATGACTCTGCCAAAAAGGTGTGTGGTGATAGTGCTGCTTCAGCAGCTCTCTGAGCTCATGAGAAGGATGATGTGGGGGGTCCTAGTTAATGAAAAACTGAACGTGAGCCAGCAGTGTGCTCCTGCAGCTCAGAAAGCAAATGGGATCCTGAGCTCCATTGAAGGGGGGTGGCCAGCAGGGACAGGGAGGTGACTGTCCCTCTCTGCTCTGCCCTCGTGAGGCCCCATCTGCAGTACTGTGTCCAGGTCTGGGAACCCCAGTACAAGAAAGACAGGGAGCTGTTGGAGAGGTCCAGAGGAGCCACAAAGATGATCAGGGGGCTGCAGCACCTCAACTACAAAGACAGGCTGAGGGAGCTGGGCTTGTTCAGCCTGGAGGAGAGAAGGCTGCGGGGTGAATCATTG